AATTGCATAACTACAGTCAAATGACTTTTTTTTTTTTTTTTAATTCCCCAACTGTGCAGGACTACAATGTTTTGTGATGTTTTTAAATTATGTGGATATGAAGTGTGAGGAAATGCATATATTTGTGAATTTCATTCGTTAGTCACGAATTTTGTTCAGTGCATCTACATATAGTTCTTTGCAACTCAAATCTAGGTTAGAATTTTGCGTTTATATAGTATTTTGAACCTCTGGGCAGGTTCTTAGCCAGCACAACATTGATGACAGTGCTTCCCACACGTAGGTTATATTTGGGCAACCCCTCCCCTGACCACCACTATTACCAAATATATTGATGACCACCAAAGAATAGTTTTAACAATATCCAATTTCCATTATGTCCCAGTTTTCACAATACTAGAGACACCAACAGCAGGAACCAAATTCTTTGTGTGTGTCAACACACTTGGCAGATAAATCTGATTCTGAGTGATAAAGATTGTGTATCATGAAAAACATGGATTTTTTAATTGATTACTTATTCTAAAACCTGATACCCATATATATAAATAAACTCCCCCACCACCTCCACAATGTACAGGGTTTGTACGCTCATGAAAATCCTAATCCAGGATATTCATTACCGTATGAACCCCATACACTATGGCTTTTCTGAAAGGTATTTTCTTGAAGTGTTTTGACAATGAAATATAGAAATTTGGTTTTCCAGGCCTGGAAAAGTCGTGTGTGTGCTGTAGAAGATGCTTTGACATTTGAACACTGGAAGACAAATTAACAAGTTTAAGAGGGAAAACACCATTGCTGCTTCTCACACAAAGACATGCGAGACTAGCTTCTTTGCTGTGAGTCAAGCTACTTGACGCAATGTAAATTGTGCCGCCAGAAAAGACGCATTCTTTGTGAAGCGCCTCCAACCCTGTGCATGTGGTTGTGCACCTCCCAGTTTTTGTAACTCTCGCCACACGTGCATTGAACAAGTTTGAAGGGAGATTTTGCTCAGCAGTTTTGCCTCTACAGTATGATCCTCTACTATATCACATCATAGAAAAAACTGTGGTGATGGAAACGCTGCTAAAAACATGTTTTCTTCAGTTCGCACCCTCTCTGGAGCCTTACACGACACTCTGCTGTGAAAGTAACTCAGCCTTTACAGCGCTCTGTCTGCACTGCGCCGGCTAAACAAACATCACATGCTGCAGCTACATTAATAAATGACGAGCTAACTGCTGAGGTACTCTTACTGATTTAATTTAATACAGTCTTTGTTGCATTCCAGGTACTCAGTTGTGAATTCAGTTGTGAACTGTCTCTCATTACATCCCTCTCATGAATACTGTTAAAATGCGTCAAAAGTGATATTGTGGATTTGGACAGGACTAATGTCACAGAGCAACATTAGTGTCCTCATAAATATTACCTGCCTTGTACCATGTAAAACCCAAAATTGAACTTCAGTTAGATATTTAATTACACTGGCTAAATAAATATGTCTTTGTTATTGTTAACTCGTTTGATTTTGATCTAAATATAATGAAATGGAGATCAATGTCCACCTAAACATGATGTGTGTGAATGCACAACGTGTCTGTGTTATGTGTTATGAGAGGACGCTGAACCGTTATTTATAATTATACAAACGTAACCGACTGACGTGTTTGTGCATGAGAATATGGAGTGATGGAGTCAAAACAAAATATTTAGGCTCTGAAAGGAGCATCAATGTATTGAGCAAAATGACAGATCCATTCTCCGAGGTCGGAGTATTAAACCTAGTGCAGGTATCTGTACATGGGTCAGATTTCAGTTTCACTCATAGTCATTCCATTTAAACTGCGTTTTGACTCAGTAACTACACACACACATTTTCTAAACTGCTTATCTGCTGGGTTTAGTTAATGTAAGTCTTTTTTCCTCTTGAAACAGCTGTGTCTATGTGCTGTGTCTAAGCTGTGTCTGTAGTGTTGGGCAATTACTGATAAAATGTAATATTGTATTTGCAAACATATCACAGTATCATGTTATCAGTTGATATTAAAATTTGACGTTTAGTAAATTTAATGAACTCATTCTTTCGTTTTCTTATTTTTATGGATTTTACGCAAATATGTTAAATGTAAACCATCAAGGATTGCATACCATAAGTAAAGTGCACAAAATTACATGACATCCTTATCTATCAAATATATTGGTAAAAGCATCACTAAAACAGAAAATAGTATGACGGTGTCACAGTATGCCAGTATAGATGAAATATTGATATGTCAATACAGCACTATGCTAAATGTTTGGCATAGAAATTTCATTTTATATCATATAAAACTCATGGAATTACACTATTTTAAAAGTGTAGGAACCCAGAGTGTAGTGTCAAAGTGTGTGTGGTTTTTTTTTTTTTTAACTCTCTACCTCTAAAAACAATTCACTTTCTTATGGACTTTGTTTTTGGCATTTCACACATCCACAGTGCTTTACAAAAAAGTACATTATTAGTTCTTAACAGAACGAAATATGTATATAGTGCGCACTGAGTATTCGGTAGATAATGCAAGCATTCCCCCATACCTAGTGTTTACTAAAAATAACACTTATTCAAGTTAAGGGTGGATTCTTGCACCTCCTGTACAATTATGTCTATTCACTTTAGCCTCAAAGCCACTTATTATCCTTCATTCACGCCTCATCTTTTTTGTGGACAGTGAATAGTAGCACACAACTGCTCGTTGTTTGTATCCATTTCTATAAAAATCTAAATTCATTTACTTTAGAATTTAATATTAGGAATTTTCAATTTAGATGTTGATATTGTTATTAATCCTTATTCACTGAAATCAGCGTTCTGCATAATTTTACAATTGTTACAATAACTGGCAGTACAAATGTCTGCGTTTCAGTATATGTGTGAATAATTTATTTTGGTATATTTGATGACATGGTGTACTCTTGTAGCTTTTATCAGGTAGAGCACATTGCAATGTTGTTTTCAGAAAAACATGAATACATGCAATAGTCGGTGATGTGCAGCCTCTGAATTCAGCTAAGACTTGATCATATTTATACAAACTTAAACTGATGCAGATGGAAACTGTACCATGTCTAACATAATGGCTCATCTGCCCTGTGCTTCTCCTTTGCTTTATGTGTGCAAAGATGTTTTATTGCTCTCTGAGCTTTGCCAGACAGCATCAGGTTTTATTGAACCTGTTCACTCTCACCATGACCGTGTTGATTTAGATTCCTCCTCGTTAAGGCTTGTACTTTGCCTCTGTTGGGAGTTGCAGTTTACTTTAGGTGTGAATGAGACTCGGGAGGAAGAAGCTGAGCTCAATGCATCTTTATGCTGTTTGCTCTCCAGTACTGACACCGTGTCTGTTCTAAAAGCCGTCCACTCTATTTTGCCTGATTTGCATTTGGTTTGCATTTGCATGAACCTTTTGAGTGTATGTCAAACAATGTTTTGATGCCGATGTTGGAGAGCTATGATAAATTTGTGTCTGCATGTATATACACCATCTTTCATCAAGCCTCCAGCTCATTTTCGTAGCATTTTGTGTGGTAAATTATTGTGGACATGGCATAGCAATTTCTCCATGACAGTTATATCCATTTAGGCACTTTTGCTTACATGTCTTGAGTTCCTGATTATTCAAAAAATTCTCCAGTGATAGGAGATTTGTGAAATTGGTCAGAGGCGACACCTGAATATACTGATGTTTTTCCCCCACATCTTTTCCATCTGGATCTCCCTGGTAACAACAAAAAAAACATATGTCTCTATTTCATGTCTTTGTTTCCATGGCAACATTGCAATGTGGCGATGAGAGCTGTTCAGCTCCTCTTTAAGGAAGAATTGCAGCATGAAAAAGAGGCTGAATATGATGAACTAGAGGCTGGGAGAAAGAGGTAGCTAGGGCAGGAGGAAAGCACAGGGAGAGAAGGAGATGGCCACAGAATGACAGTAACAGGCAGATAGAAGCGAGAGCTAAACCAGAGTTACCACAGCAAACTGCTGTTCAGGATATTGTCGCTATGACAACCTATGCAAGAGGTTCAAGCCTCTCTTTATGCCGGCTTCTGTGGTCATGTAATGACTTTTAGATTTTCCTTTCTTCGAGGATGCGTTAGCTTCCGCTATGAAGCTATTTTCTAGTGTGGTCGTCATTCACTCTTCACATGCAAGCACGTGTGGAGATGCACCTTTCATCCCAGCAGCAGAGGGAGGAGGGTAGGCTGGGGAATGGCCAGTTGCTCTATCATCTCGGAGAGGAGTTGTAAATAAAAGAATAGCCCATTTTGTTCTGTTACAGAGGGAGGGAGATAGAGGGAGGAACTGCATGTTTGTTTGAGAGAGAGAGAGCATAAGAGAGACAGACAGAGAATGAGTCAAATAAAGGAACAGCTTGTTTGCTATGCTGAACTGGGTGGCTGACACAAATACAGGAACTGTGGTTTGGTTTGAGTCTAGAGGGAGGGCAGCGCAAATCAAGTAATAGCCTTGTTTGTTCAACACCAGAGGGAGGCTGGTTCTAATAATGGAAGAGCCTGTAGCAGAGCTATAGAGGTGGGAGGGTGGCTAATAAAGGAACAGCTCCAGTGTTCTGTTGTAGAGAGAGATGGAGACAGGGAACAGCCTGTTGACATTTGAAGCCATGTGACCACAAGCACTACAGTCAAGACTTAGTGAAGCTGAAAAATGAGATGCAGGAGCCTGTGAGATACATAACAAGAATGCAAACCTTTTACACTCATTTTGAGATCAGTGGGCAGTTAAGGTGAACCTGAAGAAACCACAAAAGAGACTTAGTAGTGGTTGGAATGAGTAATAGCCCTGTAAAAAAATATATACCTTTTTACCTTGGCTTTGTAAAATGTCACTTGGTTCTTAAAAATTTTGTTTAATCCTGAACATAGATACTGTTGATCATGGCATATAACTGTGTTTATTAAGTTATTCAATGAATGGTACTGCATGTGAGAAAAATTTCCTCTTTGTGTCTCTGTAGCCTACAGGCTACATGGAGACTGCTCTGTCCTACAGTTGTATAGAGGATCTGCAGTTGCTGTCTTGGGACAATGCCCCCAAATACTGTGTCCAGCTCAGTGTCCCTGGAGGGACCGTCCTTCTGCAGGTACTGCATGCACCAGCTGCAAAAAAGAAAAAAAATAATTAAAAACATTTTTAAGTGAATACTTTAGATCTTAAAATCCATTCATATGCATATTTTAAAACCAAAAGCTCTGAAGTTAAAGGAGCCCTTCGGATGCTGTGTGCGGTAGGTCATAATGCACTGGAGATTCCAGATTTCAAACTGTTTCAAATTTGTTAGGCAAAGCAATTTGGGGCAATTATTGATTAAAAGAAATCTAGTAGTGTGCATTCAACTTAAAACAGTTCTGTTAATATGCTGAGATTGCTGAGGCAGGCAGCAGGTTTTGAGCATAAACAATGCAGTACTATGTCTACTTCTGTAAAGTAATCTAGATCTGGCTTCACTGTCCCGCCACCACAACCTTACTGTAATGTTGCATATCCCTTTGAAAAATGGACAAGGCATTGTCTACCTGGAAAGCTTTTGGGAATTAGGAAGTCATTAAACTGTTGTTTATGTTTGAAATATCTCTGCTTTCCTGCTGTCAGTTTTTAAGTGTCTAATTGTGAATGAAACTTGTTAATATTTACACTTCAAACCCCTGACAGACACACCTCATTAGATGTCTAAACCATTCCATAACACAAATACAAAATACATATACTCCATTCTCTGGCTCGTTTTCAGGCTGTGTCTGTGTGTGTATGTGTGTTCTTAGGCTGCCAACAGCTATCTTCGGGACCAGTGGTTTCACTCTCTGCAGTGGAAGGTAAAGTCACTAGCTTAAAGTATGTATTTGATGGCGGTGTATTTTATCAAGTTAACTTTGTTGTACATCACCTATTTGCACATTTGAATAAGATTATTTAGATAACAAGTAGTGAGGTTCCCAAATACACTATGCATTCAGTAGGCATTCCTATGAACATTACAAATTAACTTCACATACCATGTTTGTTTTTTTGGATAGAGAATGTGACTTTATCCCAACATGTTCTAGTCTTTCTTTTTTATTTATTTTTTTTCCCATTTTTGGAATAGTTACCCCAAAATGTCATTACTGTAACATTTTTATATGAAACGTAGCTCAAAATTTGATTAAATGTTTTCAAATCTTTCAGTTGTACAGCATGTATTCGACATAAAATAATGCTGTACATTGGTAATTTTTTTTTTTTTAAGATTTTTACATTGTTTTGACTAAACCTGTGTTTATTAAATACAAAAATAGATTTTTTGAGATTACTTAGCAACTGGATGATTTGGGCACATAATTGACTTAATGCTAGTGGGCAATGGTTTATATTACTTGTTAGCTACATTAGCCGGTTGAGAATTTTCTACATTTTCTAAGAATAAAATTTCAGAAACCAAAAGTAGAAGCTACATTTAATGGCTAGAATTTTCTAAATAAACAGAAACAAAAGGTGTCATTACCAAACTCATCATTGTAACACAAACTGAAGTTAATGAGAAATAATTGTTACAGTAATGCACGGCCCTTGTGTTTGACAGTCTTGTAAGTGTTGTTGTACTGAGAAATATGCCCTCAGATACATTAATTTTCATGAAAATTGTTTTTGCTTTTTGTGTGAAAATATTATTTTTAACATCATAACTTTGAAATATGTTTTATGTAAAATGTTCGTAAGTTTAAAAGTTACATTTATACTAAATTATAAAAATGATGTCCAGACAAGTTACAGTAAAGTTTTTTTTGTGAAAATATTGTTAAAAAAAAAATTAGAAAAAAACAATTTTTAGAGTTTAGATACCACTGCAAATATTTTCATGTTCCATAAAATAGGCCCCTTTTTTACTGCTATTTTTCCACTGAATTATTTAGTTTATTAAGCTTGGACATCTGCTTTGATGAGTTCATGAGAACGACCTAGTAGAGTTTGTTGTAGGCTCTTCTGATGGTCTGCAAATAATGTAGGCTTACAACTCAGTGATATACATTCTCAGAGGCATGCTTAGAGACATTAAAATATTTTATCGCCACATTGTTAATTACAGTGATTACTCTTGCTTGTGTAATTTACTTTGTCTTATTACCTTGTCAACAGAAAAAGATCTATAAGTACCGTAAGGTGCTGAATAACCCAAGTCGCTGGGAGGTGGTGCTGAAGGAGATCCGAGCTCTCGTGGATATGGCCCTCACTTCCCCGCTACATGACGAGTCCATCCACCAGGCTCCATTGCACATCATCTCTACCCTGCTTGCTGAGGTACCATTCACACAGACACATTCACACTCATGCAAGTGCTTGTTTAGACTTGTGCAAGTTTTATATAAGCTCTGTGGTATCAGTACAGAATAAATTCCCTAAAAGCTTCAGCAGTCTTCATTACATGGCAGAGAATGTTCAGAGTGCTCTAGCACATATAAAACTGGTTGGTCTGCAAAAGATCAGACTAGACCGGACCTCGGTCTAGACTCTGTTTGCTGAATGCCCTGCTCATTTCAGTGAAGAGTCATCTGTGGTTTAGTGCTTTTTGCAGGAGCGCTCCTTATGACATATACACATAAAGTCTATCAGACACATGGACCATCGTTATGCTCCCAGTGTTTTAAAGGAAACAGCAAACAAAACTGCATTTTTATTACCAGTTTACATATACATTACTTGTTATTGTATTTACCCTCTGAGAAAATATGAAATGTAAATTCTGTGCATGTGGCATCATGTTGATGTAATGTTGCGTCACAGTGAGCATACATTCCGCCCCACTAAATAACCACCTTCATACTTTCAACTTTGCAGTTGCCGACATCTCTGACTGACAGGATAGTGTAAACTAGCAATTTTAATGGGAAATGTCACTAAATTTAGCATGTATTTCAGGCTGTTTATGGGACTGTAACGTTTTCTCACTAGAGTTAACTGACCAGATAGGGATATAGCTAACAGGCTAATCGGCTCCAGTAAAACTTGGAGACAGATTTTAATTTTAAGTCTTTACTACAGGAGTCAACATCCAAACTGGAACATCTAAAGTAAAGAATGTGCTACTTGAATGTTTGTTACAAGCTTCAGATGTCTTGGTTTAAGCTAGAGAGCTACTATAAAATATGAATATACACTACTGTTTGCTTGTTGGTAACATGACACTGAGAATCCTATTATGGCACCAGCGGAAACTAGCATTAGATTAGGACCGGCAATTGAGTAAATAAAAGCTACTTAAAAAGTGAATTACTAGGTTTCTGCATTAAACATAGCTGCGCACTGACGTGCATGTCTAGCACAGGTTCATGAATGTCTGGTAAACAGACTAGAATGTGAAACGTCAAGTTTCACTATGCTGTGCTCAATACCCACTGATGACCTCTCAACCACAGCACATCTTTACACCCACTAACCTGTCTTTTTCATTACCATTCTGTCAGCACCCAGAAAATGATCTTTTCTCCATGGAGGAGAAAATGACTAGATAAAGACATTGTACAAAGACTGAATTGGAGTGTTGTTTTTGAGTTGTCTTTGAATGAGTTCAGGAAAATGTTAAACTGAAGAAAGTAGTAAGTAGTCTCTGTCAGCTGGCATTGTGCGTAATTGACTTGGAACCCCGTATTTAGATTAATCTTCAGAGCTTACTTCCTCATACTTGGTTGATTAGATATTTTTACACCATGAATGTTTAATGTACAAAAACTGTCTTGAAATTCAGATTTACAAGTGCCCAAAAGTCAAGATCCGTACAGAAGATTGTGCTGCATCAAACTGGTCTCTCTTGTGGTTGGTTCCCAAATACTTCACTAGCGATATGGGATAGATATTATGACATAGCACATTATGCCAGGATACAGGCTGTAAGTCGGGTTTGTTTGCTGTTTTAGTCACTACTCTGTGGCTTTGAGAGGGACTCGGCAGGCAAAGGGATTCTTAGTAATGTGTTTGTGTCATTTCCTTCTCAGAACACAAACCTCAGCGCCCAGGACCATGAGAACATCATTGTGGTGAGTGAGTTTACAGCATTATATTTGTCCTCCTGATTGATAAACTGGGATGTTTTTAAACAGAAAAATAGTAAACCTATCTTTTTTTTCTGTAACTAAACAGACATTGTTATAAAACTATGTAATAATGTAAAACTATGATTTGAAATGAGTTACAGTTGTAGATAACCTACTAGATTTGGTATAGTGTTTGTAGGATGGGCACTTTTTGCGTGTATGTGCATGTGTGCGCATGTAGGTGATGATTAATGGTGCTGTGGTCTGCCTACAGGCCATTGCTCCTCTTCTGGAGAATAACCACCCTCCCCCTGACCTGTGTGAATTCTTCTGCAAGGTAACATGCACCTGGGCCCACCACCACCACCCCAACCACGGAGGCAAAATAGTGCATTTGCCTGACAAATACACGCTCAAACTCTCCCAGTCATGCAGGCCATGAACTTTACACAGCTGTGTGATCGAGGATATAGTAGGCCCTTGTGAAGTTATTTGGAAAGATACGTTTAGAAATGATTAGTTTCACACATGTAGTTACCCTTGTGAATCACACAAGGGCTTCTCTCTGACATAGAATGACTCAAGTTGAAGTACATTAGCAGAGCAGAATGATGAAAGTACTTTTTTTTTTTAGTGTGGTTGTGGTTGTGTGACGCTGTATGGTATTTGTGACATACAGCATGCATAAGTCCTGTTTCTTTCCCCAGCATTGTCGGGAACGTCCGCGGTCTATGGTGGTCATCGAAGTGTTCACCCCAGTGGTCCAGAGAATTCTCAAACACAACATGGTGAGTGTTGCAGTGCACTGTCCTTACTTACTACTCGCGCGTGTTGGTGCTTTGGTTTACTAGTTGACTGTGCCGGAACTTTTCTCTCTTGCTCTCTTTACTATCCAGGATTTTGGAAAGTGCCCCAGATTGCGTCTCTTTACACAGGAGTATATTTTGGCTCTGAATGAACTCAACGCTGGCATGGAGGTGGTCAAAAAGTTCATTCACAGGTGAGTGCTGTCTTGCATGTCACCGCACACGCACATTGTGTGTGGACGAAATCACTGATGCTGACTTGCCTCCACACAGACACAAAGACCTATACCATTCTATGTAGGGTTGGGCAGCATAACGGTAAGACATACCAAGGGATTTAAATTTTTTTTTTTTCACCTGATGTGCTCCCATATCAGGACCAGGAAATCTCTACAGTGGCTCAGCAACAACTAATCGCTACGCTCTATAGAACACGTTCAATTTTGGCACATGTTCGATGGACACTCTGACACCAGTCACTGGCCTTTTGTGCCACTCCAGCACCAGTCATTCAACTTCGCTCTCTCAGACATGAGTTTTTATTGTCTACACTTGTTACAGCCAAAATCGAATATACTCTGTGGTAAGCAGAGCTGTTATCATGCTAAGCTAATGCTAACCAACTTCTCTCTCCTAGTTCGCAGCGCTGTTTATCATTTAGGAATTGTTGTTGAATGCTAGTTTGGACATTTAATGAATGATTGATTTAAAATTCATAGAGACAGTTTGAGTATGTGAATAAAGTGGATACCGTCCAGCCCTAATTCTAACACATTTATGTTTCCACACCATGTTGTTACATATGTTACATATAAGAGCACGTTCAACGGATTGCTGTCCTGTACCCACTTTTTTTCTGCTGATGATTGACTTACGTGTGTGTGTGTGTGTGTTTGTGTGTGTGTGTTATTTCAGCATGCACGGCCCCACTGGACAGTGCCCTCACCCTCGGGTCCTCCCTAACCTGGTGGCAGTGTGCCTGGCTGCCATCTACTCCTGCTATGAGGAGTTTATTAACAGGTGAGTCCCCAGCATATGGACCAAGCTCCAGGGCCCTAAATGTCCCACTGAAACGGCTCCCAATCAGTTGTCTCCTTCACTCTCTACAAACTACCAGCAAGTATTGTTCATGCCGCAGAGCTTCTGTCTAAGAGCTGCCTTTCATGTGCTTAGTAACTTTATGTTAGAGGGATTTCTCTCAGAGATCACAGTTGTTATTTTCAGTCTTGCTTGTAACATTTACATCATCTCTCTGAGTCAGTGGGCCCTGGAAGGCATACCTGGGAGGAATTCTTGTGCTCTGATTTTCCATTATCCATTCGTCACCTCTCTGACCCTAGAGAATGAGATGTCTCCAACCCTACCTCTGTTTTTCCCTTACCTCCTTTTCTTTATACTCTCATTTGCCCATTTGAATAGTTTCCATTCCCACTGTGTATTTTGTTTAAATTACACATTTGCATGTGTTTACGAGGACTAATGCATGACTCTTAACATTTGCTTATGTGTTCCATTTGTCTCCCACCAAGTGGATTTGAAGTGTGACTTTGGTCATGTTAGCAGCAGTATTTGATATACAAACTTACAAATACTGTGGCATTGTGGGACTTACTAAAACCAGAAGATTTTGTATAGTGGAAATATGTAAAGGTTTAGTCATCTGTGAGTTGTATTCTCATCTCTCTCTCTGTCTCTGTCTGTCTCTCTTCCCTCTTTTCTGTTTCTTTCTGTCTTTCTCTTCTAGTCGGGATAACTCCCCTAGTCTGAAGGAGATCAGAAATGGATGTCAGCAGCAGAGTGAGCGGAAACCTCCCATGCCTCTGCGGCTGCTGCGGCCTGAACCCCCGACCCCTCCACCACCAACTGCCTTGTCACCCCCTCCACCCCTTCCCCTTTCGCCTCCTCCCTCTATCGTCAACTCTAGCGAAATCATGGTGGAGCTGGAGCGCAACAACAACACTGCCAACGTGCTGCGCAAAACCCCCGCAGGAGGTGACAGTGAGCCCAACCTGATTGACTGCCTGCTGGTGAGCCCAGCACTCAATGCCCTCTCAATTCAGCTCCCCGCCCAAGCCGACAGGGTCCTGGCCTGTTTTGCCCTCATCCTCAAGATGCTGTGAGTAACAAAGCTTTGGCAGGGATGTCAGGGATGTCTTATACGTAAATGACTATGTACTTAGGCAAAAAACTCTATATTCCTCTATGTTCATGTAGATAGGTGCATACTAACATTTACAGCTGTGTCAGGATTGGTTAGTGCAGTCACTAAATGACTGGTATGTAAGTATGTGGTCAGCTTGTGGAGTGTACACATGAAAGAAGGCGAGTGACCTGAAACCTGCTTGCATATTTGTAACAACAAGACTGTTGCTTAAGTGTACTAAACTGTAGTCCTGTTTAGCACCTGATCCTGCGACCTGGCAGGGTTTATATCTCACCACTGCTGATCAGGTTTCGTCTCTTTCACTTTAAAAGTGTCCTGCTGCCCTGGCTTACATAAGGTGCTCATTTCCCCCATTGTCATTCTTCCTGTGTGTAATGCTCTAATCTCTTTCCTCTGGCCTTCTCTCTGCAGCTCGGACTATGACGACTGGAGACCAGCGCTGGCTAGCCTGTTGCAGCCCATCCCATTCCCCAAAGAGTGAGTGTTACGCTCTGCCTTCTCACCCTCAGCGCTCTCATCTGTTCTCAGGCCACCTCCTACTTTGGCTCATTGCCCACTGCTCATACAAAAGTGAACTTCTTATTTAACTTTGCTTTTTGTTTTCCTGTTCTGTCCTATCTTTCCTTGTTCCATCACTCTGAGCTTGCGAAAGTGGGCATGTACTTGTATGTGTTGAGCTCTCTGGGGGTTGGGGGTCTGGGAGGTTGCTGACGTGGGTGAGCAGTAGCAGGGCTCTGTAGGGGGACGGTGAGTGTTGGGCCCAGAGTGCCAGTGGGTCCTGGGAACAAATAGTGTAATTGGCCTTGCCGGCCTGGGACTCATTATGTGCCTCCTGCAGAGCCCTGGTGTTGCCACAGGTGGAGAACTCACCTGCGCTCACACGCTAAACTGAGCTTCCAACCGTCATTAGGAAAAGGCAACAACAGATGCATCCCAAAGCATGTCGCACAAACACAGAAATGTACACGCACATAAGACACTCGAACGTATTCAAGTGCTAACTGTTGCTATCTGATGTTTTTCTTTGTTACTCTCTCCCCTTTAGGGCCCTTGCACATGCCAAATTCACAAAGTAAGTGACGTCAATTATGCCTCCATGTAGAGTTTATGGCTTAGAACTACCTGTCTCTACAAAGTGTGGAGAACATTGTGTGGTTTTAAATGTATGGTCAAATAAACAATGGCCTTACAATTGGTAATATAGCAGTGCCCCTGTATAGTTTGAAATGTTAAACAGTGTAAATCTGTCTATCTATGTAGTCTTTTTGTTCAGTCTAATGGTAGTGTATCTTTGCAGAGAGCTGAAGTATGTTATTCAGAGGTTTGCAGAAGACCCCAGACAGGAGGTGGGTTTACTGGCCTACTGTAATGTCTACAAAGGATCTTGTTTAATCTCTGTGTTATTTCTGTTATTTAAAAAAGCATGTGGAGTATTTGTTATTAAATTAACTTGAGAAATGAATGTCACTGACACTAAGATGTTTGTGTTTTACAGGTACACTCCTGTTTGCTCAGTGTGCGTTCTGGAAAAGATGGCTGGTTTCAGCTCTACAGTCCTGGGGGTGTTGCTTGTGACGATGATGGAGAACTGTTTGCTAGCATGGTGCGTATGTGTACTCTCTGAGAGAGAGAGAGAGAGAGAGAGAGACAGAGAGAGAGATGAACAGTGCTGCCTTTATCTGCTGTCTGTACTGTACTTCTGGTATAATGGCAGATGTCTTGATGTCATTGCAGGTTCACATCCTTATGGGTTCTTGTTACAAGACCAAGAAATTCCTCCTGTCTCTGGCAGAAAACAAACTAGGGCCCTGCATGTTACTGGCACTGCGGGGGAACCAGACTATGGTGGAGGTGTGTGTGTGTGTGTGTGCATGCCCACATACAGCAAAAATCCTAAACTGTAATGAAATGTACAGAAAAGTGATGTGTATGTATATTACGTTTGTGAAACAGATCCTGTGCCTGATGCTGGAGTACAACATTATAGAGAATAAGGACACTCAGCTGCAGATCATCTCTACCCTGGAGAGCACCCAGGTTGGCCTGCGCATGTACGAACAGCTATGTGATAGGCAAAGAGAGCTTAAAGAGCTGGTGAGTAAACACATGCATGCTCAAATCAGCTTTTTTTATGAGGGCAGGCATTAATTACATCACCACACCACAGCCTGGTCATGGCTGTTTTCTCAGAATAAGCAATGTGTCATATTGTTACTATTGGTTTAGTGCAGTGCTCCCATTTCTATAAAGTCAGACCCTTCAGTGACCCATTTAAACATGTCCCACATTCATATGCTATCTGACTGTTCACAGATGCCACCTGCTGGTATAACACAGAAATTCACAACATTCCTCTCTCTCTTCTTTTATAGCAACGAAAAGGAGGCCCTACTCGACTCACACTGCCATCGAAGTCCACAGTTAGTTTTCTGTCTTTTTTCAATTTATTCATTACATTCTTTATTTTTATGTAATTGTGTGATACCATAATGTGTTTTATGAGAGCTAGAGCTTTTGTAATAAACTGCTGTTAACCGGTATTTCATTTGTTGTTGAAAGTAGCTGTTGCTTTGCCATGTTAAAATATGTCCATGTTTTTTTAGAGCTCCACTTTTATTGAGTCAAACAGCAACCTTTTGTCTCTGATATCTTTGTGCTGCGTTCTGTATGCAGGACGCTGACCTTGCTCGCCTGCTGAGCTCCGGCTCCTTTGGAAACCTGGAGAACTTGAGTCTGGCCTTCACCAACGTCACCAGTGCCTGTGCCGAGCAGCTCATCAAGCTGCCCTCCCTCAAACAGCTAAACCTGTGGTCCACCCAGGTCAGCTTAAACCATGAAGTCTCACTCCAACAGCCCTGCACATTCTACCGTAGCTGTAGCCTGCAGCAGGCCACAGAATCTGCTTGGCCACCTCAGTTCATCTGTTTTGATTTGTAAAAGATTCTGTTTTTATGATGGTTAAACTATATAAGGTCGCATCCAAGTTAATAATACACCTGCGGAGTGATCATACATCAGTTTCTTTGTCTTTATAATGAGCAGTTCACTCAATGAATTCTCTCTTTCTCAGTTTGGGGACGCTGGGCTGCGACTGCTTTCAGAGCACCTGGCCTGCCTCCAGGTCCTCAACTTATGTGAGACTCCAGTTACTGATGCAGGCCTGCTTGCCCTCAGCTGTAAGCACACATGTACACACACAGGCATGACCGCCTCTGTAGAAAATGATCTTTTGGCAATATTTTTTTGGAGCAAACATGTACACACAGTTCATATTACTCATAAAAGCAGAAGTTAAATTATTTTGTACGTCCTGAACTAATAAACCAGAGACTTTAAATTTTAGTGTGTAATGTAATTTGTGTAGGCAGTTTGTCCAGCTTTTGTTTTCTTAACAAATCTGCAGTAGCAAACCGTGACTACTGGTGCTAGGCCTTCAATTTGTGCCATAAATGTCAAAACTCAGTCAAAACCCGAGGGAAATACCCACCTCAACAATAATGCTAATTCTAGTCATTTGTTAGCACCAAGCTAACAGCGATTCGCATTAACAGTTTCTGAGGAGGCTCCGTTTAGCTTCTTATTCAGTTATTTCATTCCACTTATGATGCAGAGATATTTCTGGTGCTTTCAGGCACCAGAATGTAGCTGCTGCAACATTTAACATGATTTGTTGTTATGCTGATAATTAACACATCAGGACTTCACTTCGCTATATTTACCTAGAAACCACAGAAAAACTATTCAGGATAGGTTTTAGGTATTGGAAAGGATAGTAGTTTGATCATGCTTGGTGTTTCTTCTGCTTTTCAGCTATGAAGAGCCTTTGCAGTTTGAATATGAACAGCACTAAACTCACTGCAGACACCTATGAGGATTTAAAGGTAATATATTGGTACCCTTTCTAAAAACTCAGGTCTTCTGAAAGTACTTTACAAGGCTACAATTGTAAAGCATCTGTCAGATTATACTCATATTTCATAGTATGTCAGTAAGTTATATTTTGTTGTGGTGACTAATTATCTGATTTGTCTGAATATCTGTTTTTCTCTGTGTTTCCTAAAAGGCAAAGCTTCCCAACCTGAAGGAAGTAGATGTTCGTTACACAGAGGCCTGGTAAACGTGTTCAGCATCGTTGATTCTCAAGGAACCTCTGACATCGTTTAAACATATGGATTTACTGACATCATCCGAACACATAGAGCCTTCGACATCGTCACAATCACAGACGTTTGCAGATAAGGACTGTCTTTATAGGAACATCGTTCAAACACAAGGACCTTTTGGTGACCTCAGCCCACAGCAGTCGTCCAGTGTCATCATCCAAACACAAGGACATTGTTTGTAGTCACTTCGAAAATGAATATTTAAAATGACATCATCAGATGGCACGGATCCTGTTTCTATTGATATCATGGGGACTGTCATAGTTCTCTGTCTATTTCTGGGTGTCTGCCCTTCCCCCTATTCCTCACCTGTCAGAAGCATATGAACCCCCAACATTAGTTGTGTTCCCTGCAACTGGTTTTCCATGCATTATCTCTGTGTCTTCAGTTGTACACAGAGCAAAACAGCAAAACTTTGGATTTTACTTCCTTACCTTTTCCCAAGAGACTTAAAAGTTCAGAAGCTCTTTCTCGTCTCAGTCCCCTTTTTGCAACAAGGTGCCATTTTCCCAGAGGTACACCTTGACTGGTGAGGGTGTTAGCAGTCAGAGCCACATTCCAGTACAGTTTTGATATATCACCTCTCTGTGGAAAAGCCAAATATTCCACGAAATTTTAAAATTTAGTTATTGTTGCATTTCTGCTCGGTCCTCTCAGTTCAAATTCTGCCATTTTCTGTCCTTCGTTAAAAGTTCCTGTTGCCTCTGCAGAAGGGTGGCAGCCAGAGTGTCCACTACTGTATACACTCATTTTCACATCTTTCTCTCTCTCACTCTCACCCTCACACTCTCTCTCTCTCTCTCTCTCTCTCTCTCAAAAATTTTTATCAACTTGAATAAGCATATTTTTCCAGACATCTCTGCTTTCATAAATTCTGTGTTTATATAATATAAAGTATATATATCTATATATACATATAAATATATCTATTCCCTTTTGACATTTTAAAAGCAGACATTGGAGGAGTCTACAGCGCCTACTAGAAATAGATTTTTATCTTTTTTGGCTTTTTTGTCTCATTGTACAGTGTACAAGTTTGTTCATGCACCCATATTTAAGAGAATGGTTGTTTGGAAGGTAGTCTGGGACTACTCAATATTTATGAAGCTTCTTTTGTTCTTTTGCTGGGCCCCTCTCTTTATCACATCTATCTCTCTTTTCCAATCATATTATCATGGAATCACTTTTGTCAATCAAATGAACCGAGATGGTGCCTAAAGGACATTTTCTGTGAAGAGTGCATCACTTAGCCCTAAAGTGGCTTGGTGTTCGCTAACTGCAGTCTTTGTAAATACTTCATCAACTTAACTTTTCAACAAGCTTTTGTTTTTTTAATACAAGTTCATCATCATGGTTGAAACTTTGTTTTCCTATAGTGGCCAGTCGGTTTTAACATACACATGGATCCTGCTACAGTGGTTAACAAAATGTTCTGCACATTTATGAGAAATCAAACGTTAAGCCATTATTTGTTTGACAGTCTCGAATTAACAGTTATTTTTGTTATTTTTCACATTTTAACGTCATGAAATGGGCCTAACATTTCCAGATGGTTTACCATTGTTAATTGATAAGTCAGGTGTTTGTCAGCAGTAGAAGGAAGAAATCACCAACTATGTTATTGCTTTGTGACACAAAATGTCTCCATCCATATTCAATATGCAAAAGTTAATATAGGTAATGGGCCTAGTCATTACAGTTTGAGTTAAATGACATGCTTTATTTAGAAGTTATACTTCGATTACGAAGCCCTCAGAAGGTGTACAAGACTGCTTGTTTCTTCTCTCCCTGCACTTCCACCCACAGGCAGTCAGACTGTGCTCTGGTTTGCTACCCCAGTCTACTTGTCAAGCCTCTGATTGGACTATTTTATTTTGTACTTTTGATTAGCCAAGCTTTTGTGGCTTTGTCCAGAAGTGGAACTATGCGGTAGCTTTAAACTGAGCATGGAGATGGACGCCGTCCACTGAGAGTTTAATACTGTGTGTGCCATGGATGGTAGTGGCACCGAGCACCATTGTGTTCTACCATCTCGGGTCCTGATCAGGTCCCTGCGTGGTTGCATTCTGTATAATGTACATACAAGTGTATATAATTTCCCTCCCCCACTCTGTCTTGTGTATTTCTCTGTCTCTTTCTCTCATGTTTTTGGGAGATTGCTGATGCCTTCATTTTCAGGATGTGTGCGTGTGTGTGGTCAGCTTTTCCCCCCCCCTCCCAGACCAAGTGCACTGTAATTACCTTCTAACTGTCTGTGTTCAATGGTTTTTATCTTTTAATTGTTTTTGACTGATTATCACTTTAATCCATATTTTGTTGCTTGTGTTGTTATTTTTTCTTCCTTTCTTGTTTTGCATGTACATGTTGCATTAGCAAACATTTTAATTTTGTAATATTATTTTGAAGGCTTCAAAGGATCAGATCACTAGCTGAGATGGGGCCCCTCACCACCCCAACCCTGATTAATCAACGACAACCACTTAGCACCTAGGTAATGCATATATAAGTGAGGGAGAGGCAGAGCAAGTGTGCAATTAGAGACCAAGCATTTCATGAAGTGGTATCCAGCAGTAATGTAATTAGTTGCCATTACCATTTTAAGTAAGAGCACAAGATACTGTGTTAGTGAGTGAACTGAAAGCTACAACAGTAGAAAACTGTCAGCTCAGAGGTGGAAATCTCTGCTCCTCCGGAGTCCTCATAGAGGAGGTGTTCGGGATGGCTCTAAAGGCCAGAGTGCACCATCTGAACAAACGTTCTAATGTTTGCAGTTGTCCTTCAAAAAGAATGGACAAAAAGTGAACCAGAGTGAAATTCTAGATCCTCCCAACAAACCCAGGTAAACGTTTGTGTCTGTACGGTGGGTGTACTCTGGCCTTATGGCTCTACTCTTTATACTGGACCATTTTTCAGTGGGGGAAGTGAGGGCTGAAGGCGTCCAGGTAGCTAGAAGGGTTTCCTAACCCTTTTTCTCCTGAAAGCATTTTAAAAATATACTGCAGTTTTTTACAAAGCAGGGGAAAATAGGCAGAGGGGCTAGAGTAAGTGGGGTAAGTCACATTTTTTTCTATAGTAAATGGGGGAAGCTAGATTTACAGGGCCGCTCATCCATTTGTCATATTTCTATCCTGTGTAGCTCACTGTGCTTTTTGCACTTACGTCTCTTCTCACACCCTCCTACTTTTACTCCTCTCTGAGATATTAGAACTTCTCTTTTTCTGCATTTTTTTAAACAAGCTTTCTATCATTTTGAATTGTGACTGAGTCTTAACGTGGTGAAGATTGGGACGCCTACCACTGCGGTCCCCTTCCAGGGCGCAGTCATGTACATAAATGAACTACATTTCCCATGATTCCTGGAGTTTTTGCAGATAGAACTGCCCTTATTTCCTCCTGTCTGTGTTTATCTGCTTCTACAGCTGGGTTGCTGCTGCTGCTGCTCTGTGGCTGTTGTAATGACAATACAAGACCTTCAACAGGAAAATAAGACAACTACGATGTGAAATAATTTCAATCAAAATAAACTGTCTGTGAATATGTTTCAATTGCAAAGCTTCAGAATTCATCATTTTACTTGAGTTCACAGTATAGATGCTATTGTTTCAAACTGTTCTGAAAATTAATGGACAGCAAGATCTTTATCTTTTTAAGCCACTATGGAGAACTGATGGGAATCATACTTTTTGTTAGTCTTACAGTTCATCAAATGCTGGGATAATCATTTATCATTAATCAGTTAAACGATTGGCAGTAATGAACCAAAACTATTTATTACATTGCAAACAAGTGAGAGCTGATGGATTTTGATTAACACAATTCAGCCAAATGTTTTTTTGTTTTTAAGTTACAGTTGATAACATGTCCACACGCCCAGCTCTACGCATAGAAGCGAGGGTCTTCATCTTGGACTCTTCCTGCTGAAATCACTGTTCAGTGTCCTGCTCCAGCAGCCGTCTCAGCCCTGCACTTTCCATCCTGGATGACTGAAAGCAAAAATGGTCACAACTCCATCGAATCTGCTCTCGCCTGCCCAGTCTGCAAGAGCATCAGCAGTAAAGCAGCGGAGCCAAGGAGAGGAAGCCTCATAAGCAGAAGTGAAGTGGGGTGGGGGGGGTGAGGGGCTGAAATCTCAGGTGCTCTCTTCCCTCATGAGTAGAACCTGCTGTTGTTGATTTTCTTCTCTTTCATCCTGCGGGGAGAGAAGGCCAGACATCACTAGGTTTCCCACCAAATATGAAGGTTTAATAACACATTACAACTGCTTTAAAAATAAATGTTTACATCAAATTCCGATTTAGTACATTTACAGTATGTCTAAGGGCTTGTGTTCTCAGCAGCAAACTCGTCGGTCTTTGTTCACCCAAAAATGATGATAACATATATCAGACATGGCATTTTATTACTAAGGTTCAGACACAGATTTAGAATAATCCTTGTAGCAAGGAATCAAACGTAAGCTCTGAACAGGATGACATTTAAGTAACATCCAAGTTGACTGCAAAACTGAACATCTCAAAATAATTATGTCCAAAGTTGACATTTTTGCACATTACACTGAGTTTATACTCAGAATTCCTAACATTTATTTAGTGAGGAATAAACATATGTAAACCAAAGTCTAAATCTATGCTGGTGGTGTGCTACTTTATGCAGATGCCTCTGGTTTTCCTGCTGCACTTTCCCAGCAATTTTAGACACTATTATATCAAATGTCCCTGCCCAAAAAATCTTTTAAAGTAAGTTGATGTAAAATGATTATATTCCAAGCACATTTGGTACATTTCTATTGGTCCATTTATCAAGAAATGTTCACATAATATAAAGGGACAGCTGCTGTGTTCAAACTATATAGAAAAAAAAAAAAATTGAGACTTGTTTTGGATAGCGATGATGGTGGTGTTCAGATGTATGCTCTCTCCTGGTATCTTTTCATTGCTAAATGTTAAAGCAGAGTGTGATGTGTTGGCTCAGGGGGTTTCCTGTATAGATCACTCACTTCTGTTTGCATGTGTCGTTGATCCTCTGGAGTTGCTTCTCATTAGAGCTGAACTCCTGCATGAGGTCATCACGGCGATGGGAGGGCGCTGAGCGCTGCAGGCCGGAGTGAGTGTCGTACAGGAAGAGCTCGTTGCTGAGCTCAGCCTGTCTCTTTCGCAACTGGCTGGAGGAGGAGTATAACTCCTCTTCTGCTTTCTGATAATGAAGCATTTGGGCAGAACATTCACTTATCTAGACACTTGTTTAATCACACATTTTAACACATCAAAGAAAGATTTTTTAAAAAAAACCAAAAATTCTATAAAGTTTTCATATCACAATCTATTTGGCTCTGACAATATACAGCAGGTATGAAGAATCTACGTACATCTACTGAAATTTCAAATTTTTTTGATGTAAAGATTAAAATAAAGACAAATAATGCCATGACTCGTCACTATCATCATGACATTTTTCACCTTAAACATTCTGAAGCAAGCAATGTTTAGGTGCAAACAAAAACATTTAAAGCAGCACTATGTAACACTTGGGGATCTGGAGATCTCTCTGGTGGAAATGTAACATGCAGAGGAACATTTGTATCATCAGTTATGCTTCGGATCCCCACAAGCAGATGAATCTGATGATTACAAACGTGTTGAAAGAGTATGCAAAGAGGACTTGGTGCAGGACGTTTCTCCTGAGAATGTAAGTGAATTATCTACTATTGTCATCATATCTTCATCAATATACTGTAGAATTTGCATTTGAGATCTAAGCATCAAGTCGGACCTTCTTTCTGAGTCTGCACATGTGACGTTAATAGGTATGATTATTATTTACAGGTTGACTTGTAGCAGCACACACACATCATATTTTACAGAAATATTACCAGGTTTACGAGATTATATTGTTGAAAGGTTCTGATTAGGCGAAGAGTGTAAAATAATTGAAATATTTTTTCAATTATCACAGAACATAGTGAAGGCCATTGTTAAGAAGGACACAATGTCACTGATGCGAAGCATTAAAAGCTATCTGACTGCTAATGGTGCCCCCTTGTGGAGTGTTCAGCCTGCTTAATGTGAGTCACTGAATGAGCGAGAGAGTGAGTTATGCACCAGTTCTAAGTGGTGTTAAAAATAAAAAGTGGAGGAAATATACCACCACCAGATTAGGATGTCATTCCAAAGTTGAAAACTGGGCAATGAGAAAGCTCATTAGGGAGGCTACCAAGAGGCCAATGGAACCTTAAGGGACCTGCAGGAATTTATGACAGTAAGTGACCACTGACTGCATATTACATCTATATCATGTATTCTTCAGAAGTCTTTGGGTAGCATAGCATGACAAAAGACATTTCTCACATGAAATACTGTCCAAGCTTGTTTAGAATTTGCAAGAAAATCCAAAACAAACTCTCCAAAACCTTCCAAAACTATGTGGAAAATTTGTCTCACGGTCTGATGAGGCCAAGGTCAAACTTTTACAGTCATGCACTGTGGTAGTTGCATTCTGTTGTTTTTTTTCATCAGTTAGGGACTCTAGTTAATACAGAAGGGAAAGTGAACATCTCTAGATAAGATAGTTTGCCGTGAAGATTACCTGCGGCCTTCTGCCAGATAGCTTCAGTTAAGTCAAACAAGTAGTGGCTCAGGAAAAGGAAGATCAGTGGCCTTCAATTACACATTCAGAACCCCAGCCTCAATCCTACTGAAAAACTATGGACTGACACTAATGCAACAACTGCAATGAAGGTGAGAGGTTTTTTTGTCTTGTTTTCAGTTTTTACAAGACAGAATGTGACATTTCTATAAGGGGGGTGCAGACATTTCATATTTGCTGTATATCCTGGATTATAATTAATGAATTACATCAACTCAGAAAGGTCAGTATTTACCATACTGCTCTACTTTCACCTGATTTTGGTGTAACATGAAAGGTCAATCCCAGTCTGGGTGTAAAGAGGATGTAGAAGGTGGTTTTCTTACCTCTACCTGTTGTATGTCAACATACACCAGAAGTGAAGCGAGCTCCAGGTTCTCGCTGTAACCGTTCTTCAGAGGGACAGAGCGATATCCTGACAGACAGAGGACAGTTTAGACCAGTGTGTGTGAAGGCCATATGTGTAAGTCCATCAGGGATATCAAATGAGCTTCCTACCTGAGCGAACACCTTTCACAGGGAAGGTAGCCTGGGCCAGGAAGTTGGGATCAGAGAACATGTCTTCCTCAAAGACAACAAAGCGTAGAAAGCTGAGCTCTGGTTCATACACTGTGAACATAATTGTCTCTGCATCCTGCCGATGTGGCCCAAGCCACACAGGGTTCAGCCCGTTATCATCTGGGGAGACAGTGACATTGAAACACTACGTTACAGACAAGCAGGCAAGCAAAACAACTACCTACTACATCCCAACCTTTTAAATATCATTCACTTTAATCTTCAGTGAAATACATTTTTCAAATCAGTCTCTGTTCCCTCCCTAAACCCATTCCTTACGACAGACTGTGGTCTTGAACTTGGAGCAGTCATCAGTCTGACCACACAGCTCAATCTCAACAAAAGGGCTGACAATACTTCGACCCGGCTTTGGCAGATGCCTGGCTGCTATCACCTACAAAAAACAGATGCAATTACCAAAAATGTAACAGGCCTTTTTTTATAGGATAATTCCATAATTACATGAACTTTCAATTATACAGTCCTGTGCAAAAGCCTTAGGCCATCTGAGAAAATGAAGAGGTTCATTCCAAAATACTGTCAATTTGTAGCAATTTTGAATACAATGAGTGAATGAAAGGAATAACAGCGGATGTATAATGGAAAACACTTTTTGTCTAATAAGTGTGGTATTAATCATGATATATAATTAATATTTCTTTTATATGTAAAGCTCACTGCCAATAAGATATATCATGGAAAAAAATCTTGAAAGTGATCTATGTGTTTGTAATGAAACCCTTCATATATAAAGCCATTCTTCTGGCCTGTAAGCATTTATTTGTTCAAAAACACTAACACTAGCATAAATAGTAGGAATCTTAGTACTTACAGTTACCATGTGATACCTAGTTCAGCTAATCGATCCTTCATTAAATTAAATCCTATGTACTCTGATAGAATTCCTAGAAAGTTCCTAGAGTGCACCAAGAAGCCAGGAACCAAACCTGTTCTTCTAACTGTATACTTTTAATCAGGATGTTAATAACTTTACCAAAAACAAGAAATTCTTAATAGGAGTTAAGAGTTGTCATGCAGCACAATACAAGCTACATGTAGTTAAAGTACAGCTATCTATATGCACCATATAGAATATGCAGGGTATATTCTGAACTATAAAATTGTCCCCGTCAGAACAAAACCTCTAAAATAAAAACTTTTCAGAAGAAAGAAAAAAACATTCCTAACTTAAAATGGAAGGTAATGTAAAAAGATTGTTTTCTAAGTGATTTTGGCCCATTTCTATCAGTCCCTTCATCATGAATTTTCACATAGGGTAAAGGGCAGCTTGTGTTTATAAATTACGTATAAAAAAAGTTTTGGTTCTGACAGTGACAATATAATGATTAGATCATAGGTAAGGTAAGTTAAATCAAAAGTTAACAAAAGTTAAGAAATGGCAGAGGTGTGCTGCAGTGGAAAGTGTTAAAAAAAACATTGACACATTTTTATACATTAGTGGTAATAAGAGTATTGTCTTACTCGGACAGACAGAGTGAATTTGACGGTGTTCTTATCCTGCTGAGGTTCATAGCTGTCTAAGCGCATGAGCTCAGGCTGCAGTACATAGCCCGTGCCTCCGTTCAGACTGAAGAGGGCGCTGTTCAGCTGAGTAAACTTATCTGAGGAGAAGAGAGAGGGTGCTGAGGACAGAAGTTGATCTTTTTACACCAGTTTAAGGTTAAGCTTTGGGATTTGTAAGTCTGGCTCTCAATGTGTTTGTTTACTCTGCAGTAACAAAGTTCTGATTTTAAACATCATCAACTAAAATCTGACCTTGCAGATGAATCCACAGTGATTAGTTAAGAATTTGCATGATGATAAAGGATATTTATAATTTTCCAACTTTCTACTCATACAGTAAAAGACAGCCTGATGGATACATTCATATGTATGCATATTTTGTCACACAGTAACTGTATATTTACAGGTCTTTTTAAGGCTTTGTAATAAGCTATTTTGGAGTCTCTGTAAGGCTATGCATAGCGTGTTATTACTCACTCAAGTGTGGGCTTTTTTAAAAGAAACTCGGATTACTCGATTGTAGAGGAGAGCATACATTTTGGTTTTTGATAAATATTTTTAAATGTATTTGAGAAAGATTCATAATTTTCTCTGCTACAAACGTAAATATAAACATTGTTTTCAGCTCCTACAGTTTATGAATAACTCATCTGAAAGTGGACTGAGGGCCTAAAATTTCTAGTAAATTGATTCAAACCACAAGTAATTCTTGAACCAGATGAACTTCCAACCTGAATACATACAATTATGTGCATGATTAGTAAATAGAGGCTGTGCTGAATGCAGCAAATTTATTGTTGACCACAAAGCAGAAAAGCAAATATCAGAACAATAAAAGTGAAATATATTTTATGTGCATGACATCTCTGATGTGTTTTTGATTAATATGTGCATAAAAACATATAGAAAAATGACTGTTTTGAATTTATATGGGGGAGTATGGACATTTATTTCCAGAGGCTGTGTTAAAACTAATCCTGTCAAACTTCAGCCTGGCTAGCTCTTAATGTAAGTTAGTGACATGCTTCTAAATGGTGCTATATTGCAGGCAAGAAGATAGGGATTAAAACTATACAAGGGTGAATTCAATGACTTTTACACACTCCTCAGAAGGTTGCAGAAATAAATAAACAATATCTATTTGACTGCTGTCATCTAAAAACACATTCTACTTGAACCTATGTAACTACATATAATACCCATGTTACATTGTACACCGTGTTAGTTTGTGCCTTGCTCTCCCCTAAAAATAACACTGATGGTGTTATTCAAAAGTAAAAGTAAAGGTGACAGCTCTACGTTTTCCTGTCTCACTCACCAGCAGTTTGAAAGTTGAGTGCCACCATGTGGCAGCCGCACATCCACAGTGGGTGAGGGTCGTAGTTGGAGGAATCTACCCGCTGACCCTTGGGGTAGATGCGGCTAAGTGCCCTGCGGTTATACCTCAGAAAGTCACTCAACTTATTCTTGGTGGGAATTTTGTTCTCCACAAAGGAGCGGATCTCTTTATAACTAAAATTGTCTGTCAGGAGAAACAAAGACACAAGTTAAGCTCAGTTGAGTTTGGAATAATTGTGAAAACACTATGATACTTAGCTGTTAATTTCCTGGCTAAACCACAATCAGTCTGCAACAATGACACACATAGGTAAAAAAAAGGGTGACAATAACATCATACCAAAACGATCTTTATCTTTGCTGCGCGGCTGACAGTACACCACCAGGTCAGACATCTCTTTGGCCACCACGTCAGTTTTTTCCAACTCCTTTTGCTTCGTTTCCTGCAGAGAGAGGACAAAAGCATGAGATTAGCTATTAAGAATACAGAGTCGTGCTTTCTTTTTGATCTGTCTAAATCAATCTGTCTAAATCAATCTGTCTAAATCGTGGGATCTTAAACCTCACGCCTTTTCTGATAAATCAACTGTTTGTGCTTACAAATAGTTTCTAACATTGTTACCTCAAACTCCCGGTTCTCCTCTCTGTGTGTGATATCCCAGGCCACCTGATACCACTCATACAGCTCCTCTGTAGTCTCCGTGGCCAAGTCAAATGGCATCATGTTCTCTTTACTGTCTTTATTCTGCAACGTCACCACCACAGACTTGCCATGCTTAGCCGAACGCACTGAGGAGAAAGAGCATGGAAAGAAAATCAGTTCATTACTGAGCCCAGTAGCTTATATCAGACCTCTTTCCAGCTCGTAAGTCCTTCTTTGACCACTGTACTGAAAGCATTTAAAACACAAAGTAGCTTTTTTCTTATTAATGCAATCTGTTGTATTCCTCGCATCTTTTTTAGTGTCATGAAATATTGCTTTGCATTTTCATTATCGGCATCAAATGTTTCAGACTTACCAACGTTGCACTTGGAAATGTCCACCACACCTTTACACAAGTCACCCAGTGGATTCTCTTCATCAGCCTAAAACAGAAACAAATTCATGTGTAAACATACAGTTCAATGATTTTACACAAATATACAGTGGCACATTTTCCATGGTACACCAGTTTAGAAACATCTGAAGAATGCTCTGCATGTGACTCACAAGGCCTTTGGCCTCAGATGCAGCATTGTTAAGGACCTCTTCCACATAGTTAGCAGGAAAGTAGAGCTGCATTTTCCCACCATAATCACCTTTCCACCTGTAGGGGTCAGCAGAGAGAGTGAGAGAGAGTGAGAGTGAGAGGGAGTCAACCTAAAATCAAAATTTTGTTTTTTAACTTGTTAGTTCATGTCCCTGGTCATATTAAGCATGATTCATCACATCATATCACTTAAAATCTTGTATTTTCATAATCTACCATCAAAATGTAATGACTTTTTATCTCTAAAACATCTGATTTTTGCCTCCCTTGTACAAGCAGGTGAGAAAAACAACTATATTAACCAATAATATTTTGTTTCTCTTTCCCCTCCCATCCCCCTTCACCAATCATCTACTTTTCAGCTGACTCAGAGACCCTCCCTAATACCTCCCACATGGTACAGAAGGAAAATCCATTTTTGATTCACATCAACTTTAAAACTTATGGACTACAGGACTACATGCACAAAAACAGCCATAACATATAGTATCTCTCATCAAAAAGACATTTGGAAGTGTCTCACCATCCATTGCTCTCTTTGATAACATTGTGGATCACAGCACCCTTGCAGAAGCTGAGCTCATCTGCCCGCATGGCCCGGTAATCATAGAGGGCTTTCACTGTGCACTGAGTCTGCAGAGGAACATATGAGGACAAGATTACTAGCCCGCAACAGAACAAGCTGTATATTTCTACAACACTAATTCAACACTGTCCTTCTGTGTTTTTAAGAGTGGAAGTCATTCAAGGTCTCAAACTGAAGCCAGCTTATTAAATCCCAGTTTAAAGACAATTTGTGAATCAGTCTGACGAGGCAAATGAAAGTGGACGAGTGCAACTGCGATGCAGCACAGATGTAATAGAAAATATAAACTAAATACACTCAGGCATGACACTGCTGTATTAACTGTTGCTCATTTCCTCTTTAGTGAAGATCCATTTCCTATCTGAGAGACAGAGATAGCAAACAACTGAGTTTCCTTCTTGAGTTGTTGCTAATAATGCAAATGACCTCCAGAAAATGTAAGTGTGCTACATGAATGTGCCTACCAGAGATGGTTCGATCTCATTGGCCTCCACATACTGCTTGCTGTCATAAAGTGAAGCAGATTTACACTCCTGCAAAGAAGAGGAAATTCATTTAGTGGAAAGCTACAGCTTTAATCCCACATTGGACCAAAATTAAGTTCTTCACTATCAAAACTACACACACTTACAGAAAACTTCCAGATACTTTGAACTTATATGTTAGTAGTTACTGAATAGTTTAAAGTAATAACAGAATAATAAATCCTAAGATTGATTAATGAATAATAATGTCAGCATTCAAGGAGTTAACTCATCATATTGTCTCTGTCCTAAGAAGACCATGTACTGTAAATCAGGTTTTGAAACCTGAGATCTTTTCCACATAAGCACTGACCGTGCAGAAGCGCTCCACTAGCTCTGGTGTGACGGGGTAGCGGAGTTTGATCTTGCGATAGAGAGGTTTCTTGCGGAAATAGTTGACCAGCTCCACCAGGCTCTCAAACTCGCTGGAGGTGCCCAACACGTACATGGCTCCCTCTTTGTGGATCCGACAGTGCTTGACCATGCCCTCGCCTCTGCAGCACCACAGAAACCCAACAAAAGAAGTTTTATTCCTCATCTGCCTTCATGCACAAAAGTCATCAAAGCATCTCGTTTTTCCACTTGTCAATACATGTAAGAGGACACAAGTAAGGGGCTTTTTCTTTTATTAGAGCAGAGCCAAGGGCTCAAAGATCATTTTAATATTGAAATCACAATTTAAAAAGTGCCATTTTTTTTTTTTTTTAAATCACAAGAGCTGCACTTGTTTCCATAGCTTACATTATAAACAATGTTGTTATTTAACCTAATAACACAGAGCTTGTGAACTGCCTGCAGATGAGTTACGGTACGTGTCCACTTGCAACTTCACCTCACCACATCCTATTTAATTTCAATAGAGAACTCTGCCACATCACGCATGACGGTTTGCGCTGTGGAGTACTCTGCCTCACCGTGCAGTGAAAAAAAGTTCAGCAGATTCAACTTTATGCAAATGTCTGCAGATGCAGTTGGGCGTCAGTAAACCGGTCTGCATCATGAACGACAAACAATACATAACTTTCTCCAACAGCACAGAGAGAAAACATGGTCTCTCTTTCTCTTCTTTGAATATAAGACTATTTTACATAGTGAAAATATCTGATTTTATGCAGAAGTGTTAAAAGGTTTTGAGGGAAGACATTTGTTTGGATGTATTTTACTTTGTGTGAGCAAGAAAGGCAAAATTTAAAACACACGGAGTTCATATGTTACTTGCTAAAATAGCTAGATTGCTAGAGAGATTAAGCAAGCTTACTGTCTTGCTTATGTGGACAACTGATGCATTCTGAAAATTTTAAAGGCATAAAAAGCAAAAGTCGGTATTTTAGTCTCGTTGTGAACCTATGGACAACAGCAAACAGTGTATGAGATTGTTTAGTGCTCCACATATGTTCAATTAGTTTCCTTCCTTTCGACAGTGACATAGAAGTGCTCAGAGCAGCACAGAGGAATGCAGTGAAAAAAAAACTGCAAGTGAACATGGAGCCTTAGACCAATGAGAAGCAACCAAACACCCAAGTACTGTGACATCACAACCACAACTAACAAGCAGTCTCAGGCACACTGTTCAGTGTTCAAGCCTCAAGCCAAAAAAAGTGGATCCAGTAGTCTTTGTGGCCAAAATAACAGGTCTGGAGCTTAATGTATACAAAATAATGACAATTTAAATCACTGTCTTAATATTGGTGAGGTAAAAACACAATTCACTATTTTCCCCAAATCACTCAGCCCTAGCAGAGTCTATTGCATTTGCCAGTCACTGTTGAGTCTGCAATGACACTTATACAAATAAATGTCTTGGAAGTGTGTACTTCTCAGCAAAGAATGTTCTAGCCTGCACGGGCACTTTGCATTGTGTACTCTTGGCATTTGGGGGAAAAAATGACAAATTTGGCATCACTGCCTGTCATCATATCCAACTCTTCAGATCCTTGATACACAGATAATGAGGAGTAAAAATGCATAAGCGAGGGTAAGAGAGCAGCACCTGAAGGTGATGGCGTAAGAGTCTGGCTCCTCTCTCTGTCTGATCAAGAACGCTCCATCTCGAGGGATCCTCAGCAGGTAGTCTTCTGCCTCGCCTCGACTCAAGTTACTATAAAACCACCTGCACAGAAGAAAACCACCATTATTAAAGTCCTGCTTTAACAATGAACAAATTTGAAACCATATTCAAATAAGGTATGTAGGAAGGTGTGGTAATAGATTTCCTCTGTATTGTACACATATATGTGCACACTACCAGGAACTACTGTAAAATTACACTGAAACCTAAACAACAACCTATTGTCTCATATTACAGTGGAATGGTGAGAGATTTTAAAGGGACCATAGTCTACATTTTGTAATACATCTTGTTTTTTACTTTTTCTACATATACTTTAATTTGGATATAATGTATAGTATAATGTCATATTTTATGTATAACATGTATGATGTATTTATATGTGTCCAGAATTTCATCATTTTCCAACCTCTCCTTACCTCTGTTCTAATTGGCTACCCTGTACTATTCATTCAGAAGGTAATCCAGGCTGAAATATTTCACATAAACTGTTACAATTAGGCTGAAAACTTTAGTGATGATAGACAAAAAAACTTAAACCATACATAAATGTGTTCACGGATGTGATATCACAACCACGATAAATTGCAGCATAGTATTTATTTATGAAAGGGACAGTATGTTTTGAAACTTAAACAACATTACATTAAATTCCTTCATTAAAAAAAAACTGAAAATTATGTGAGCCTTTTAAGACTCAACCCAAAAGGCTGCAAGAGTGCAACTATCATTGAAATTCCACTGTTCTGAAAATAGATACAAAAGAGACTACAGTATTATACAGTTCCACATTCACAACTCTTTGTATACTTTTCCATTTTCTTGCATGGTGTGCTGCATATGCATGTCCACAAAAATCACTCACCCCTCTATAAGGTGCTGATTTGGCCGGGGCACAAAGTCGGTGAGGCGCAAGTTAAAGTCATGGCAGCGGAGAGGGTTTTCTCTGTAGTGCTGGATCAGGGCGTACACACTGGGGAAGTGCAGGTTGTCCGTCAAGAAGAACACAATGTGGCCACCCTCTGAGGCTGAGCGAATCCGGCAGTGCTGAACTCTCCCACTGCGCCTACATAGCACACACACACACACACACATATCACACATTATCTAAGATGCTTATCCTCCTGGGTCACGGGAAGTGCTGGAGTCTATCCCAGCTGGCAGAAGGCAGGAAACACCCCGGACAGGCCGCCAGTCCATCACAGGGCAGACACGTTGACATATACATTCACACCAAGGGAGAAATTTAGCATCTCCACTTTCCCTGACTGCATGTCTTTGGACTGTGGGAGGAAATTGGAGCACCCGGAGAAAACCCACGCAGAGACAAGGAGAACATGCAAACTCCACAGAGAAAGGACTAGGGGTGCGGGAAAAAAAATCGATTCTTAGATGCATCGCGATGCGGACGTGAACGATTCTGAATCGATTCACAAATGTCAAAAATCGATTTTCTAAATATTTAATTTATAACGTAATGTTGACGGAACACAAAAGGCGGAACTTGGATGTGGGGAAGTGCAGCGCCCGGACAGTCTGTGGCGGCTCATAACAAAAACACAACTGGATGAGCGAGAAATCCGAGCGGCTCCCTCTGCATTAAAGCCAGGTTAGATCAGGAGTCACAACACAAATGATAACATTTTGTCCTTTCAACAAAAATCAAACCACCTTGGGTGCCACAACATTTAATGTCCAGTATGTGTCAGTATGTGTTAATGTCCTATTATAAACTAAACAATATTAACGAAAACGCGGACATACTCTACTCTGCTTTAAGCTTTAGCTATAGCCGCTTTTCCTCAAAAGTAGAGCAGCTTATTGTAAAATGTCTCAGCGTTCGACTGTTTTACGAGGCTGAAGTCGCTTTTTATTCTCCAGCTTCTTGTTCGAATTTACCCGTTCCACCTTAAATTCTGACTGAGGCGCCGAATGTAAATGCGGCACCATTTAAGGTGGAACGGGACAATTCAAAAGAGAAACTGACTTCATCTTCGCAACTTTTTAGTGTTTGACAGTCTCGTTGCCAATTTAACGTACCAGGAAACAAACTGCGCTGCTTATAAATGCGAATAACGCGTCGTTTATAAGTGACCTGCAGTCGTTGCGAAACAGGGCTTTCTCGCTATGTTGCACACGCCCCGTCTCGAAGATATTTCACTGACACAGCGACACCCCCCCCCCCCGGAAACGGGCAGGAAGGCTGTAACGCGCTGCGTGGTCATCCATCACCACTGGATCTTATTTCACCGTAACTGCGCATTTTATCGCAGATGAGTGGCAGCAGCGTCTCATGTGCTCCAATCAAGATCAGTGAATGAGAGCCTTCTAGTTCACTTGCCACATCACTTCCATTTGACTTATTAATAAAAGATATCGGAAGTAAATTCATTATGGATCATTACAAATACTTTGCTTTAACATTACCAAGTCCTCAGACAGTAAGAAAATAGAAATGTTGTATAGAAAAATACGATGCATCGATAATCGTTTTATAATCGCATCGCAGCCCTCTGAATCATAATCGAATCGAATCGTGAGGTGCCTAGAGATTCCCACCCCTAGGAAGGACCCTAGTCGCCTGGCTGGGGAATCGAACCCAGGTGACAGTATTAACCACTGGGCCACCATGCCGCCCACAACATATAGAGACACAGGCAATGATCACTCCTGCTTTGTATGAAATGTCTCTGATACAAATAAGTACACATCATTTAAATAATTCACATCCTTCAACAGCACCAGTAAGAGCAACTATTTCTTTAATCCAGACAACTACAGGCACATGCCCTATGGTAACAAGCACCATAAACTAGCCAGATCAACCACATCTTATTTTACATATGGCCTGTTAAATATACAAATAACACCAAACCAAGCACAAACAGTATAACATTTACATATCTCACACATTTACATGTACTAATAACTTTAGTTAAATAGGAAACATTAAGGAAGTCAGGACAAAGGATGATTGTACACTAAAAAAATGAACTAGCTGGTCTAAAGATCTGTTAATCCATCCACTACTGCATAAAGAATAATGCATAAATTCACCATCATTGTTTTGGTTAAAACAAGTTAAGCGAATACCTTTTTTTATTTAGCTGGAGCCAGCTCCTACCTGCTAGGTCTCCCACTATCACATAATTCTATCAAGCGGGGAGGGTGAAGGCTAGCACATGCTTCTTCTGAGACATGTGAAGCACCAGTAGATCCTTTGGAACTGCTGCCAACACAGTGTCATTGGACAGCTCAATGCACTGGAAGCACTGGCAATTCTGTTACGTCAGCAAAACAGATGTCAGCAGCGGTTAGAATCGCACTGAGTAATGGGGGGAGAGGGAGGGCCATTCTGCTCACCCAGAGAGAGCTAGTTCAATTATGCAATCTTGACCTCCCGGCCACGAATCAAAATCGCAATCTCCAGACGATAGAGTCAACTCTTAGACCGACGCTCAGGCCATTCAGGAGCCTAAAACATTTTTAAAACAGCACTATGTATGATTGGTGAAATTGAAATAAGTAGCATTACTGGGTCAGAAGACAAAATTTCAGAGGGTCTGAAATACAACTGACGTTACAAAATGCTCTTTCACATGTAACCTGTAATTACAAATTTCCACCAGAGAGGTCTCTAAATTCCCAACACTTACATAGTAAAGCCTCAATGTAAGCCAAAAAAAATGCTTCTCAAGGTATGAAAGAAAAGCAAGAGAATAGAATTGTCGTACCAGAAAGAGAGGGTGCAGTCAGTAACGAAGGTGTCACTTTCTCGCACCAAAAAGGTTCCGTCTTTGCCTCCAGACTCAGCACAGAACTCCTGAAGCAGCCTCTCCGCGGTCTGCCTGCCTTCAGACAATCGTCCATGAAACCAGGGCTCAGTTTGGTGCAGGTCTGTACAGCCCTGAGCCTGATCAGGAGAGGACACAAGTAATTTTGGTATCCCAAGTGACATAAGACATGGCCCATCTGTGACCGTTTTTAAATCCAAACTTAAAACACAATTTTATCGGGTAGCATTCAGCAGCTGTGATATGTGCATGTTTTGTGTGTGAAAGTGATGGACATAGGGTATAAATGTTCTTGTCTTTTATTGTAAAGCACTTTAGTTTTAAATGTGCTAAATAAATACAATTTACCTACTAATTTTACAAGTCTAGCTTAGATGTAAGGCGAAACTCACTAAATTTCTTAAGTTAATTTTTTCCTTTAAACCTCCTAAGGTCACCACGGCATATCAATGACAAAATGGAGAAATTCTGTCAAAGTGCAGATTCTAAATTTTCAAGTGGCACCAAATTTGTGTTTGTTAGCAGAAGAGGAGATATTTTTATTATGAATTTTTTAACATCAGTATCAAACACAGTAGGCTCGATCCTGCTGATACAGGATGTAAATGTAATCCATTATATAACTATGTAATTAATTATGTCATTACAGAATTACATATAAATAATTATGTAATGTAAGTCAAATGTACAAATGTTAAAAAAGCCACCAATAGAGAACCACTGTAGTCTCCTGGTGTCTTACCTTCCCAAGCTCATCTTCTGCCTCATTCTCCTCTGCATAGTACAGCTTGTTTCCTGAGATCACGCAGTAGTGCTTATACCACCTCTAAACACACGTACACACATCAGAAACACATTTATCAGCAAAACAGCTACAATAACCAACACTGCGTAAAGTTCTACAGGGATACACCTACACAGGTCAGTTTATTTCTTCAGAGGTTTGTTTAACACTGGCAGTTTTTCTGTGAAAGCTACAGAGGTGGCATGAAAAAAATATTGATGTACCTCATCGATGGGGTCCCAGATGTAAAGCTCTCCCTGCTTATCCCCCTTTCGCAGGTTTTTTTGGCCAAAGCTCTCGCCAATATTCAATTTTTTGTGCTGTTTGGAAAAAGGAGCAGATAGGCACAAATTAGCATAGTTTACACCCCAGCCTGTGACCGCACGATACAACCTCTTTAAGTTTACATCAGCTAAATACCTCAAATGTAAAATGATACAGGTAAATTCTGACTTGTTTGCCTTCTGACAACATTAATCTCCATGTTCCTTCATTTAGAAGAAACGCAAAGTATTACATCTGCGGTTCAGGCCAATAAATAAACAAGGCTACCGTGTCCACTGGTCTGCGAAGTGATGAAAAACCAATAATCATAAAACAGCTGATTTGCATTCTGGATCAGTGACTGAAACTTACATTGAAACTACTTTCATAACATAAAGAATGGTCATTGCTATCTACCTAAACAGATACACAAGACTGCTGAAACAGGTCTACCTTTGAACACATACTATCCTAATAAGGAGATCAGGCATTTAGTGCCCACCTTGATAATGATCTTGCCCTTGAGTTGATTGGGAGAGGGCAGCTGCTCAGCTTCCAGCTCCACAGGGTCAGTGAGGAGCTTGTCCTGGAACACGTCTCTGAACACCTGGGCCATCAGCTTCTGCTGCTTCACATCGCAGTGCTCCTCTATAGACAACACTAGAGGGTACCTAGCCATAGCAGCAACACCCAGTAAACATCTACACCTTTTCAACATGAACTTATGTAAGTTTAAAATACACTCAAAACTGACTTACAAACTGAAAATGTTGAAATTAAATAAACTGCGTTTTATGTTGAGGTAACAAAGTACATACATGCTGACTCTTCTCTGTTTGATTGGAATGGAAATAGGTGGCATACATAAATGTAGTTTATATGTTTTGTATATGACTGCTAGCCTAATTTTCACAAAGATTCTGACTTTCATCAGGGTTTTCTTATTTGGGATTTGTTCTTAGGTAAGAACAGAATCTACGCACAATCAACAGCACAAAGATGTGAACAATTCTGCGGTTTAAAAACACATCATTAATCTGATGTGGACTTTTTCTTAGGACCTTTCTCAAGAACAAATTTAAGGAAAGCTTAGGAAGATACTGGTGAATGAGGCCCAATATTATTAATTTCCCCACTTAAGCCAATGTCGCTGACAATAAGGGCCATAATTAACACTGCAGCTCATGCAATTTAAAAACTACACTCTTTCAAATTGTGATTTTGATATAAAAACAATTAATTTTTCATCCCTACTATATAGGTTATCTAAACCAGTTTTTTCCTCAACAATGTTTACTCAAACCTAGCCCTTATTCACCTCTACTATGTGTTCAATGTTCCTAATGGCTTGGTTCAAGAGTGCTGGGAGCTAGCACAGAGCAATGTGGACTGAGTTAAGAAACACTGTATTAAATCATATTCTTAAAATCACAGAAAAGCAAACTATCTGCAAATTTGTTAGTGTGTGGTTGAAAACTCACTCAGATGCTACAAAGGCATGGTCATTGATGGCCTTCACCACGTCTTTAAACTTGATCTTGGTTGTCCTTGTCCAGCCATGGTATATAATGGGCTCATCTGACGGGCCACCCCAGCAGTCCACTGCATCACCATTAAGCAAAGCAAAGAGCAGCTCTAAATTGCCTTGCAGTTTTCATACAGGGCCTTACAGTACCACATAGTAACAGCGTACAGTTAGTTATCGTCGCTGTTGTGAGAAAACCTTGTATCTCTATAATGGTAACTCTAAAGTACCCATATCACGGAAAACAGAAATTTATTTTAATTTTTTTTGTAAATAAAAGAGTTTCTTTAAACTTTAACAAACTTTACATACTACATCAAACTCTTTTATTCACAGAACTGAGTCCATACAGTCCATATAGCTGAAAAAAGTCATTATAAATTTACTTTTTTTGAGATAACATGAAAATCAGTGCATTCACATACACTAAACAAAAATATAAACTTATATACAAACAACTTTTCCTTAAAAGAGTCTACTGAAACCTTGCAAAGAAAAAAACAGGGTGGGTCATGAAACAGAATTCCCACATTAGTATCTGGTTTGACCACCACTTTCTTGTAGCAGTTTCAGCCTGTACTGTCTTACGAACAAGGCACAATACAGGGCAGCCAATCATAACAGAGCACATTCACATGTATCAGTCTTTAAGGCACAGTAACAAAAAAGCCTGTTTAATTCTATGGGGTAAAGAGAGGTTGGAATATAGTCAAATAAAATAAAAAACAATATGGGCCTTTTAAAGCGGAAGGAAGATGTTGTCATTAATGTAAGTTTTCGTTGGCTGCTCATTAAGAAATACTCAAATAATGTAAAAGATATGTTTTCAAAAGGTGCAAAGAATAAAAAAAATCAAAAAAGTCAAAATCAGAGCTACAAGGTTTTCTTACGATAGTGACATTATAACAAGCCACTCTACAAAAGCTATGAAACAGGATATCTGAGAACTGAGGTCACTAACACTCAATACAACGGCAGCCAAGTCTCAAGCAGCGAACATAGGCCTCTGTGGACGACTCACTGCGCAGCTGGTCACCAGTCAGATAGCTGTGAAAAAAGTGCACATCACAAAAAGTCACAGGAAGTGCATAATAAAAGGAAGGCAGTGAGTGTGAGTGTGTTATGTGAACGCGCAGTGAGGCCATACTGACGTGTTGTGAGAAGAGTTGATCCAGTAGTGAGACAGAGGGTTGTTCATGTCCAGGCTGGACACCCCTGAGTACTTCTCATCCCAAATGGAGTTCTCTTTGGAGAAGAGAAAATTGAGGAACTAGGAAGAAAGAAAGAAATGAAGAATAATAAAAAGTAATTAATATGCATTGATGTAGCTTCATGTAATAGAACCACACTGAAGCGACTTTTCTCAAGAGATTCCTGTACCTCGCCAACTGTGAACTCTGGGTCATTGGTCTTCCTCATGTTGTCGTCGATGAAGGTGGTCATCAGCTCTCGCACCTGATTCATGTTGTTGGCCCAAACCTCCTGCAGAAGAGATGTATTGTATTTTCAATTATACAACAGATAGTTCCAGCAACACAATTTGATTGGTTAAAGAGTTCTTCATTCTGCTGAGCACTGGTTGCTAAGAAACATCTCACTATTTGCTGCAGGTAACTGTTACTAAGTTTCTATTTTAAAACATACAAAAACAGAAAATGGACACATTCGGTAACTTGTATAATATAAGCCCATTTATATAACCCATTTGATAAGATTAAAAGTGTGAAGAAGAGCTGGACTACATCAAATTCCAGTCGGCCGTTGTGATGTAGTCAGTTGACTAGTAGCCAGTCACCAGTCGGCACACCAACTAAACAAACTAGAATTAGCCAGAAACTAACATGGAACAGTTAAGCAGATGGGCTGTGAAATGCTAAACAAATTGTCTGGAACAATCACGACATTCAGATTAATCTAGCAAGTGCTAAAAAAGCTAACTCGAAACTGATATTGTGGAAAGAATTGCCAATATTAAAGCACATTTGATACAAAATTCGGGCATTTTTGCTTTAATTTTTTTCTCTATTTTACAGAACATGTATGAAAGCAATAACAGTATGAGTACCGTAAATATTAGTCATACACCGTTAATATTAAATAAATAAAATTAAGAATGACTACATGGTAGACGTGTGGATGGATGAATGGAGAGATCAATAGAAAGGCATATACAGGAAGACATCAATCTTACTTTCTGCTGATAGAGAAGGAATCTTTGGAAGTCATGTAGGAGAACCGCTGAGGAATCTGGCTTATCTGTGTTACTACAGGAACAAACACATAACAGTCACATTATAATCAGAGAAAGGACAATTATCAGAGTCTAAGGAAAAGCTAATGCTCCTTAATGTACAGCTTGTGCTAGAGACACTATAAAAATCATTTTTTGTTTTATTCCTTAAGGTATAGCAGATTTTTGTAACTGGGGGTACATTCTTGTCAAAGAAGGTATAATGGTAGATTTTGCAGTGATTAGCAGTTATTTGCAAAATACATAGGAAAAGTGGCCAGTATTTCATACGGTTTTGAACAGGGAAGATCTTCACAACATTTCTTGTGGTTTTTAGTCTTTGCTTTAATGTTATTCTTATCTCAAGGTATAGGTTTGAATGCATTTTGCATGTTTTGGTATTTCCACTATGGTGGTACTTTGTGTTTCAGATAACTGGTTCATGCTGTAGTGTTGTATTGAAAGAAACATTGGGTTAAAGTCAGCTTTGTGATTGCTTTAACCCAGTGGCATATAAGTGTGTAACTAATAATGTTTTGCATATAATGCATGCTTTGTTAAGAGTTTAATTAATTAGAGTGTAATTAATAGTACAATCTCACTGTTGGCTTTAAATATTTAGAATTAGCTGAAATTCAACAATACATAAAATGTACCATAAACTTCTGTCAGCAGTAAGGCATGTAATTACAGTATAACTCTGAAAAAAGGAATTACAATACAGTGTAACAGTTCTGTATACAACTGATACTACACTGTAAAAAACAGAACAGTGAACTTCTGTAAATATACAGTTATAACCCTGGATTACAGTAATGTGATATAATTATGAATGTCAGTATCATGACTGTAAATAAACAGCACTATACTGGATAAACAGCTTCCAGGTAATTACTGCAATTTTACAGTTACTTTTTTTGCAGTGCAGTTATGGGACAGCAATCATTGGTAAAGGAAATGAGGAGCCATATCTCACCCCATGATGAAGGCACAGGACTCCTTTTTCAACTCATCCAGTATCTAAAATAACACACAATACACATACACAAATCATTAAAAGAATTACAGTATATAAAACTGAATGCCTCAAGATGAATGACTTTTTACATACAAGTCTCACACTCACCGTCTTCTGGTTTTCAAATATCAAATCATTATAGAATTTGTGAAACTGCTCAAAGTCAAGAACATCTTTCTTCCCTCCGACAGCCTGAAAACAAGATGCAGACTTGAAGTAGAATGACAATCACCTACATTTGTCATCAACTTTTTTTTTGCAAGCTGATTGAACAATGTTGGAGGTAAGACATAGCACATTAATGATGCTATAGAGCTTAACATGCTTCTTACCACAAGTTTTTCCTTCAGAAATCTCCCTCCAGGCACTTTAAAGTTGATCTGAGGCAACAAAGACTTGATCTCCTTCAAAGTGATGCTACAGACAGGGCAGACACACACGGACATTGCTTCAACATATTATTTAAAAAAATGTTTTAAGAGAATAACAGTAGCAACTTCTTGCAGACATATGAATACTATACATACCATATATTTATACTGAATTTTGGTGGAAGATGAGAGGGCTGTAAAGTAGAACCTTACCTGTTCTTCTTTGTCTGATCAACAGAGTACATCTGCTTTCTCAGCCAACTACGCAGAAAAAAAAATATGTATGAAACTGGAAGACAGAGGCAGAAGGAAGGAGAATGTGTGTGTGTGTGTGTATGTGAGTGTACCTCTCTATAACCTCTGGAGTATGAGCATGCATTGTCTCTTGTCTGAGTAGCTCCAGCCCTGTTAGCCATTTCTCTGCATCTTCTACTGAGTCAGCTACAAAACAGCACATACAATCCTATTCAGATTCAGACCAATTCTGCTTAACCGTGCTCAATTTACATTTAATTATTAATAATAAAAAGGGGGGGTTCACAAGGAAGGACAAGACAGGAAAGCTGTCACATGAAAATCTTATGACTATATTTGAAAAAGCCAGTTGAACATTTCATAATGAATGGATGAGTAGAAATAATCAAAATTACTTGGAAAAATCTTGGTAGGTTAACATACATTCACATTAATAACATCAATAAAAAGGTTTTAATATCACAGTAACTAAAATGCTTTGGTCTTTCCAGCATACCCACATTCAAAAGAAAGTGTACAATGGTGTACTGCACAGTGCACTGGTTACACACTAACCTCCCAGGCTCAGTGTGTTAAGAACAAACTGGTTGCCGTAGAATATTGTGAAGCATGTGTTGTCTGGATGCTTGTCCTTGCTCTCCTTAAATCTCTCAAAGTCTTTGGAGTTTTTTCCTGGGCGGACCTCCCGGACCTCAAAAAGGTCCACTACAAAACCAAATTCAGGTTAAGTATTTTCAGACTGAAGTTCAAGGAAAAATAAGCACACAAGCACACTGACTGAAACAGAAGACAAGCCTGACAAATAAATTCACATCATAATCAAATGATACTCTAAACAAAACAACATTCTGAACATGTGATAAGTTAGAAATTGCTGTAGACCTGTTACAATTATTGCAAAATTGCCTGAACACAATCATTTAAGGTAATTATTTTGCACATTTTTTTTTAGCTTAAACATATATTACATTATAGCAAACAGAATGTAAACTGTGAGCATCTGTTGGGTTGAGGTTAAATACATGCAAATAAAAATAAGCAGAAAACATATGGTTTATGACCAATTGGCTGCTCTTGGATATGGATTACTGTTTTTTGGACCTTATTTTTCACGCTGATTACATATTGAGCAACTGAACTAAGAAGTTGTAACACTCGTGCTCGTCTGGACCCTTCGACATTTAATTTATGTGTCCGTATGCACAGTGCCTCATAGGCACAGATTCCCGGTTATTTGGTCACAGATGCGGATCATTAAGGATCATAAACAGACACACAATCATCTTTGCCCTCTTGTGCAATCTAGCACTTACTCCTCCACTGGAACATTCCCTGCGAAAACAGGTCTTTGGAACTCTCATTCTGTTACTAACAAGGCATCACTTATAAATGACTTGATCACTAAGAAAAGCCCAGACATGCTCCTTCTTACTGAAACGTGGCAACAAGCAGGGGATTTCCTGAACTTAAATCTATTAGTGCCCTCATGCTTTACTTACCTATCTAAGCCGCGTCTTACAGGTAAAGGAGGTGGCCTTGTTGCTGTATTCCACACCAATTTGAATATCAAACAGTTGGACTTTCATGATCTGACTGCTTTTGAATATTTAGCTATGAAGGTTCTCTCATCTGTGCCACTGCTGTTGTTGTTAATATACCACCCTCCTAAATCTAATGCTAATATCTTTCTATCTGAGCTGAATGAATTACTCACATTTGCTTCATCTATGTCACCTGCTATAATGCTGCTGGGCAACTTTAATATTCATGTCGACACCAGCTGTGCACTCTCTACTGAACTCTGCAGTATTTTTGAATGTTTTGGACTGATTCAGCACGTTGATTTCCAAACACATATTCATGGTCTCACACTTGATTGCTCTGTACCCATTGTTTAAATGATGTTTCAGTTTCTGGTTCCGTTGTTGGTTTCTCTAACCATAAGCTCATTGAGTGTGGTCTTGGTTTAGCCCCCCAAATCCTACAAGAAATCTACTGTTTCTTTTTGTAATCTTACCACTATTCCCACTAATACCTTCTCTAAACTTCTCCAGACCTCTGCTCTTTCTGATCTTACTCAGCTGTCCTCTCCTGAAGAATTTGTCACATACTACAATAGCATTGTCCCTGAAATACTCAATACTCTTGCCCCTCTCAAGCCTAGATGTGTTCCTGCTACTCGTACTTCACCATGGTTCACTCCAGAACTTAGAATCATGAAAGTTAAAGTTGTGCGTTTAGAGCGCCTGTATAAGAAAACTGGTCTTTCAGTTAATTTCACACTTTTTACTGAGCAGGTTTCCATATATAGTTGCATTAAACACTGCCCGCTCCTCTTTCTATTCTGATCTTTTTTAAGAGTGTTGGCAAAAGAACGGGACAGGGACAGGCTAAAAAAGCAAAAGAAGACATGGTCAATTGTGGGGAAAAAGTGAAGTAAGACAAAAAGTGAGAGAGAGGAAAAGAGTGTAATGTAAGGCGTGATATTTGAGACAGAGGTGTAACGACACAGTGTGCAGCAACACTACACCATCCACTCTCAGCAACATTCACTCTAAACTAAGGGCTGTTTCACAAACATGTAATACGCGCTCTCAAAAAAGAACCTACTATTAGTCGACAGGACGTCCTACATCCCACATTGTTTCTGTTTTTACAGATGACTCATCTCCTTCTCTCTCAGTATGATAAGATGGTGATAAGAAACAAAGGAAAGTTTAATAAAAAATAATAATAATACTCCTCATCATTATAGGGGTAATTAAACTTTCCTTAAGAAAAAAAACAAGCATTTATGTTGAGATTAATTATAGGTTTATGTTAAAATAAGATCTGTCTATCAGGTACGGTTAGCTAATATACCAGTTTCAGTGAACTAAAGCAACCAACAGTGGTGCTTTGTGAACAGTTCATTATTAATCAATTCATGAGCTATATCAGGTGTGTTGGAGCTAGAAAAATACAAAATTGTGGAACTGTGTGGCCAATCTTTTGGCTAGAACTGAAAACACTGGCTAACACTGTACATATTTGCCAATGTTGATATGAAAGTATTGATAAAACGCAGAAATTAGAACTACATTCACCTGAATTAGCCTTAGATATCTAACATTTATTTGTAAAGGGTCACAAAGCAGTGAATGTAGATATTTTAGCGCAGTAGACCAGCACTGTTTAAACATTATGCTCTTCTTCAATAAATACATCTTAAGTATTGGTTTGAAATATTGGTCAAATCTAAACATCTGTACAAGTCCAATATTTTTTAAAGCAAATATCTGCTGATACCAGTATGACTGTGTTATCTTTGTGCCTCAGAGATAACACAATCATATTGTGTTTTCTTTGATATTCTTTACTCAAATCACTACCAAAGTTAAATAAGGAGTCAGACTGTAATTGAATTCAGACTTTGCACTCACACACTCCGTCAATCTTGTCGGCAGTGCGTGTCCAGGCCACCTGTCTGGTCTCCATAATGACCTGTACAGTGAGTCTCTCCATCTTCTGCCTGTATACTGTCATTACAACGCCCATCTCCAAGTCTCGCTTAACAAGACTCTTCTTATACTCCGTCAGGTCTCCGTGTCGACCCGCCATCTCTGCTTCTGGTCACACACTAAAACCAACACACACAGGTATGGGTTCAAAGACACAGTGTTGTAAAGACACTTAAGACATGCACTATACTCTCTAAAGCATTTTGATGTAAGATTAGTGGCTTTGCTAGTGGCCTAAAAACTGCTGATGCAAGACAGACTGTTTCAGTTTCTCACACTGTCATTTCTAAAATTCATGATTTTATAGCACTCACACAATATCACTAAGAAAATGTAAGCAAACAGTTTTCAGGTTAGATTATACAACACATTCCATTTGTTTAGGGTGCTGTTAACATTGATATCCATGAAGCAAAGTATGATTCAACCATAACATGGTTTAACATGGTGCTATTAATGGTGATAATTAAACCAATGTATAAAGATACTGTGCCCACATTTTTCTATAGAAGAATATCAACAATAGACATCTAAGTTTGGGACTTAATTAAACAGTACTCCTTTTTATACTGTAAAACAGATACATGTCTGTTTTTCCTAATGCTTAACCAATGGCACGCAAAACAGAAGGTGACACTGTTCCTACAGCAGCTAGTATTTGCATTGCAAATGAAAGAGAAGAGCAAATCATGGAGGGACTAACCCAGAGAGTTGGAAGATTAGAGTCCTTCAGTTTTAGTAAAGCATTAACCCAGTGATCTCAATGTCGCGCCAATAGAAAACTTTGCACTCTGCCTGCCGAGGAGAGAGAGAAACAGCAGAAAGAGAGAGAGAGAGAGAGAGAGAGAGAGAGAGAGACTGAGTAAATATGTCTGTACATAGAAACAGTACATACTTTACATAGATATAGCACATAGTGTAATGAGAGAAGCAGAAAATACAGCAATAATCTTTAATAATAATCTTCATTTATAAAGCACTTTTTATGCCGGTGGCAGCTCAAAGTTCTTTACAGGCAGCTGATAAAACTTAACAGTAAAAGAAGAAATTATGAGTATTAATTTAAAATCATATATGAGAATGACACAAAATAAAAAGATAAACACCAAGGAAGAAAGAAATGAAAGGAACAGACAGACAAAAGGAACTTAGAAAGAAGAACAAAAAACAAAAACAAACAAAAAGAGGAAAAAAATCAACCTGACAAGATCAATATTAGGCCCACTATAATCTACCTTTCTGTCCTTGTACATGAACGGCTGGTTTCTCCGACATATATTAAACCTAATACTGGACTACACTGCACTGTCAGTGATGAACCACCATTGAGAATTCTTTGCAGAATAGGCTTAGTCTTAATCTGAGTCTGCGAAACTGGCCCACAGTGTTAAAGAACACCAGAGGTCTTCACTGGGTGAGAAACCCATCTGAACTCCTCCAGCTAAGTTCACAGGCCACAGCATAGCCTACATTCTGAACCTTCACACACACCACTGAACAGAGGAACAGCTCAAAATAACGGTTTCTCTGGAAAGTGCTGTACAAGCTTTCAAAAAAATCCCTATCATCATCTCTACTCAGTCTATACTGCCCCATGAAAAAGTCCCCTGACCCATCCTATCCTGCATTCAGTACAGTTCATCCAGACTGACCTACATACAGTCTACGAAAGGCTGCTCTTCCCCTTTCACAAACTCTCCTGTCCTCTCAAACACCTTACCAGTTTAAACTTACCCGCGTCTGAGGAAAACTCGCTCACATCGAAATACAGTCCCTCTGAAACGAAGAAATTCCCATTTTAACCCGGAGAAGAGTGGAGAAAACAGGCTGTTAGAAATGATAGGACCAGCTTAGTTACAAAGTGGTCAGTTCCTCTATTCTCTAAACACAAGGAAGTAAAGCGAACCTTATAAGAATAGCCTTCATAAAAAGACACGGAAGTAAAGATGCTATCAATGCAAAGTCTCCAAGGAAGCCAAGGCGCTGTGGGTCTCACACTTTCACATTCTCACACAAAGTTCGCTCAGAAATAGAAAAGTGCCTGGAGAGAGAACAATGCCGTCTTAACGAGGCTGAAGTCGGCTTCACTCGTCAGCTTGTGGCTCGTATTGTTCCGTTCCACCTTAAATGGTGCGGCAGGTGCATTCCGATAACTGTGATGATTAAACGGTTAGATTCGGTGCCCTCAGGCGCCAGAATACAACTGCTGCACCATTTAAGGTGGACCGGGACAATTAGAATAAGAAGATGACTTCAACCTCGTGCAATATTCTCTCTCAAAGAGAATCGCTTCCCGGCTTCCTGCACTCTCTTTGAAGCCTCTGAGGGCAACAATTAAAACCACCATGAACAGCCGACGTGAAAATGAAAGCACCTGTTCGCTGGCCGGCTGCTTCACCGAGACGTCAGTCCAAAAATGACCAAAACAAGCAGCAAAGGACTAGAGCTTTCTGACAAGAAAATGCTGACAGAAAACGGGAGCTTGTAGCAAAAAAACCGCACTGAAAGTGAAGTGACACAATGTAAATTTCGAGTCAGTATGGAAACTCATGATTTACATATATAACGTCACTTTCCCCATGATTTGCATTCTCCAAGTGAAGCAAGATGAGCCAGAAGAAAGGAGAGAGGGCTGTGTGAACGAGAGACACAGGCAAAAAAAAACAAAACAAAACAAAAAAAAAACAAAAAACGCAGTGTGCCCCCTAAATGTGGCTGGAAACTTTGTCACGTTCAGAGGTGGGTGGTGACATTTCAAAGCACTCAGATACGAATCAACTCTAACCTACAGTAAACAATTGTGCAGCAAACAAAGTAAATACATGCCCCATTGTTCACAGGTGTATTCATCATCCTTCATCCTTCCTTCAGCTATCAAAAATCAGACACGTGATGAGGAAAAAACGACACCTGATTTCATCAGATCATTTCTCTTTTAATCAATAAAACACTTCTTCACACAGAAATTGTAACACTGCTTTGTAGAAGTATGCATTTAAATGCTTTCGAATTTCTATATCCCCCAAAAAGTGCAATCCATTTACATGTTTATCATTAGTCAGTAACTTCTCAGTATGTCACAATCTCTTTCAAAGTCTTCCACACATCCTCTAATGTTTCACACAGTAGGAAACCAGCTCCTCTCATCTGTAGATCAACATGACACCTTCACCCATGCCTATGCATTGTGCTACATGTTCAAGCAGTACAGCTGAATTGAGCTTTGGACATAAACATGTCTATAACATTGTCACAGCACTTGATTAAATTTTGCAAAAAGACCAAAAAAAGGCCCCATTTTTCTGACCCCTAAAATGTCAATATAAAAGCAGCAGTGCAGGTTTGTTATCTTTTCGGTGTGTTGAAAGAATCCATCCATTCTCTTGACTATTCATCCTCTCCTTCTCATCCCTCATTGTCCTCTGGCTCTCTGAGGACTTTGCTGTACAGAGTTTTTCCAGTCATCTCCATAATGGCCTGCACCTCAGGATCCGCATCCAGAACGCTCCTCTTATTCTCATCCTGTAAACCAATTGCCCAAACACAAAACACTGAAGTTGTTCTCCTGCACTTAGTGTAAAGTAGCAGCAACTCAACACAGCATAACATAGGAGAATGCTAGCTGAAACACTGTCTAGGAAAGGGAAAAGCAAGATGACATAGAATGATAATCCAGGACTCAACAGACAGATCGGAGTATGGAATATATTCTACATATGTGACAATGCAGATATATTGCTGACCTGTTCCTGTTCCTCAGGTGGCAGGCCAACCCCCCACACCTCTACTGTGTCCACTGTGAAGTCCTCATCTCCCGAGAGCTGAGGGCTACCATACGTGGTGCACCGTGGTCGAGCCCGGCTGTGACCACGGCCAAAATCATAGTCAAGCCACAGGCCAAAGTAGCCATGCTGTCCACCCATACCCTGAAACAAAACAATGAGGAAAATGTATTCAGAGCAGAACAATGTCTCTAGAGGCCATTTTATATGTATTAGTTTAACATACAGGAAGAAAATAAAGTATAAGGCCATACTTTATGTTTGATTTCCCCCCCTCATTATGCTAAATTCACCAAATAAACAATAACTGTATTAAATGCACAAAAGTGTGTTCTCTGTAGAGGATGTGTTAACTTCTTTTTACTTTTTACATAATTCGACCAGGGGCGCTCAACGTTTGCATACAACTGTACATTATTACTGAATAAAATAACCAGTGTTATTAAGTTATTATAAAATAAAACAATGATTATTAATATGTCAAGTGATTCCAAACACTCAAACCATGGTATATGGCTGTTTAGTGGCTACCCATCAAATGTTTTAGAATGAACAATGATGAACTGCCTCACCAGGCCGTTGGGCATGGTCTGCTGGCCCTGGTTCAGGTACATGTAGTGCTGGTTGTAGCCTGTGCTTATGAATACGCGCATAGATGGGAACACAGAGAACAGGAAGCACCTGGAGTCACCTGGTCAAAAGTAATAAGCATAAGAACTGGCCCGCTTATACAATAAAAACACATGCAAAAAAACACAGTGAATACAATACTTTTAACTGTTCTCTTCCCTTTACTCACCCTGAAACTGAGGTTTGAGCTCCCAGCTGTGAGAAACAAAGCCTCCAAATATGTGACCCTTAGTGTCTTTCACCAGTAAAACAGTGGGACCTCCGCCTTTGCAGTTGCCAACCAGGCGGGTAAAGCTTTCCCCATGTATATTTGTGGAGAACAGCAACCTCCACTGAGAACTGTATCCTGCAGGTAGCTGAGGGGTCAGGAACATAAGAAGAGGTAGATCCAGCAAACAGCGGAGCTCACTCCATGGAGCGTCTCGACACTGGGGCAGCAGAATGGGTGACGGACTTGAGGTCAGCCCAACCTCGAGACCCTCACCAATCAGGAGCTCCAGGAATGTGGCCACTCCTGAGACTCGGAAAAGCCAGTCCTCTAGACAGGCAACATCACATGTGTTCTGATCTACAGAGGAAAAAGAGGGCCTTCAGTCAGATACTTACAGACATGTTTTGAAGCATTAATGACTTCCAATGTTCATAAATTTTTCAATTTAAGGTTTGTCTACGAGGATAAACCTGACAGATCCTGAACTAGCACTCCTATTCTGAGAAACTTTATGAACACAGGACCACTGAGGCACAAGATTAAAATTAAAACATGAAATTTGAATGCATCCAAGTGATATCACTAACCTGGAGGTTTTAACTCGGAGCTCAACTGCTCAGCCAGCAGCTTCACTCCCTGGTCACCATCACCCATGCGATCTGGTCTCCAGCCTCTAAGTCGCCCCCTATGTGTGAGAATCTGCACTACAGCTGCAATCAAGTCTTCCAAGAACTGTAGAAAAAACATTACTTTTAAGTAAAAATGAAATGTTGTCAAGATGTCTTAATATGAAGAATTCAGTCACATAACTAAATATAAACTAAATGTGGTATATCTAGTTTTATGCAGGCCATTACCAGAACTTTATTTATACTTTCTTCTCAGTTTATTCTAAAAGTATAATACACTGGGTTTTCCAATGTTCTAAATGTCCCATCATTAGTGTATGAGAACAGAGGCTAGCTCTTGCCTTCCTCCACAGTGTCAGAACATAACAATAAGTACCTGACTCTGCTGCCTGAGCAAAGATTTACCTGAAAGTGTGGCTGGTACATTGCTCCGTCCTTCTACTAGGCCACAGACAGAACATCTGTGATTTGAATCAGAGGCTGTGATTGACCAGATGAGAGCCACTCAGGGACCAAAGGAAAACATTTTGAAGTGTTAAATCATACATACCCCTCTAATCTGATCAGGAGATGCAGTTCCGTTCGTCCCGTGTGCCATTGCCATGATAAGTGGTGCCCGCTCCTCTGCTGTTCCCCGAAGAGTGTCTGCCAGGAAGATCACCAGCTGCTCTCGACTTGCCCCACCACCAGGTGGCAGTGACACCCCAGGGTCAACACTACATATTCCTTCAAAGACTCTCCTAATCATCGCATCTGAGGCCATTTTACCCATGGTTACCTGCGAAACATCAAATAGTTGCCAAACATTAACCCAGTGGTGCTTGTAGCCTGTAATACTCTAGGAGAAAAGTCTAAAGTAATCAGCAAAGACATAATGACTCAAATTACTCTGGACAACATGTTGTTAGTTGTTATATTTTTGTGACATGACAGACAATGAGTATATCCACAGTATAATCCATGATTTAATGTCTTAAAATAGTGGTATTCCTGTTGCCAAAGGTTTGTAATTTTGTTCTATTTTGCCATTTATTCCTGGTATATCCAGGCTCTGACAGCTGTGCAATGTATGCCATTAAACAAATAATGTCCTTTCTGTAAATATCTTTCTGTTTGTAATTTTACTTTGTTATGATCACTCTGGTGTAATTTCAAGTCATTCATTGTTCAACTTTTGGGATTAAGATCCTTTTTTGGCCTCAACCTCACTAAGGTTTCACTTCTTTACCATTCTCAACACTTTGTATGTGTGAATTATGTGAATATACTTCTTTAGAATAGATTATTTTTATGCCTATAAATCCAGACACATCACATCTATGAAAAGGCTCTACTGTGTGCACAGAACATATATGTATGTAATATTCAGGAGTGAAACTGAACATATTTTACTTTCAATCGACCTGTCATTTCGCACTGAATAACCGTTCCCGACACCATTAACCTGTGAGGTCAGATCACGTGAGCGCGTGGGTTTCGAAACATCAGACAGATTAATTCGTTTTGCTCAGTTTGAGCATCACGGATTCCGAATCGCTGAATGAGACCTGCTTTGCTATCTGCTTGCCTTGATTTCGCCTGGTCTGTTGGCCATGGGGACACAAATGCTACTCATTTCGTTTCATTGAACTATTAGGACACAACCATTTACTATATTGTTGAGTTGACAGCGACTGATCCCAACCTTGAGCGTGTCCAAGAGCAAAACCTTCCTTGCGGGAGCTTTTCCCGAGCTGGCAGAGGAGCAAGAGGAGCTCGCACTTTGGAGTCTGTCAAAGACCCCCTCGATAACGGGTCTCTCATGTGGGCGAAAGCGGACCAGCCGTTTGTGCACTACGGCACTCTCTGCATTTCCCATCGCTCTGGAGTAAAAAGACAAACAACGACAAACAGCTGCAGCATGAAGAGCATTTAGCTACAGCAAATATAACCCAACTAGCACACAGCCGCCGAGAAACCGTGAAACATACGTCAGCTAATATTGCGGTCAGTAACTACAACTGCCTAGTGTAAACACACTGTCTCTTCCGGAACCGAGTAACGCGTCATCACCCGGAGACCAATAAGAACAGAGAGAGATCTGATTGGCTAG